GGAAGATTGTTTGAATATTAAAATACACATGCTTTTTTTCTTTCATACGAAATTTCCAATTTTCCTTATAATTACACAAAATATCAGTTTTAATTGAATTAAAAATATCTATTGAATCCATCTCCATAGATTTCGGAATATTTAAATCTTTTCCAATATTAGCCAACAAATCTGCCTCTGTATTTCCCAAGATATTGGAATGACCTGGAATCCAGGCAATCCTGATGTCAAAACCATTAGAATTTGCTAAACAAATTAAACGTTTGGTTCTTAAGGTCCAATAATCAGCAGATGCTTTAAAGAGATTTTTACTAACTTTTGGAATCAGAAAAGATAATAACACTACGCAAGTTCTTTTTAATAGCAAACTTTACTGCATCATGAATAGCTATGGTTTCTGCCTTACAAATACTTAAAGAATCAGGTAGTCGCGAAGAAAATTTAAAATTTATATATGGAATATATATTCCAAATCCTGTTCTATTATCTTTTTAGATGCATCTGTAAAAATAAAAATATGAGAATTTTAAAACGTTCAGATACTGACAAAAATTGTTCCTTAATAGAAAATCATGTTTATTAATTTGACAATCAACTAATTTAATAGAATCATTCAAAATATTAAAACTAACTTCATAACACGGAAAATTTTGACTAACATAAAGATTATCAATATAAGGCAGAAAGTCATGTAAAGCTGAGACCACATAAGGTACATTATTACTATTAATATAAATTGGATTAACAGTTTTTCTAATATTGTAAATTAAATTTATTAATGGATTATTTTGTAAAGTTAACAATTTAGACAGAAATTTGCCTACAAGTATTTTTCTTCTACATTCTAAATCAATCATAGAAGATTCTCCCAACAACGCTAATCTAGGAGTAGATTTCATACAACGTAGACAAATACGTAAACCCTCAAAAAATACTACATCTAGTTTATTTAATTTTTTTTATTAGTTGGTTTAATAAAAATTGTTGCAAATTCCAAATGAGATCTCACCAGAGCAGAAAAAATAATTAAAAGGGTACAAGGATCAGCTTCCCACCACACTCTACAAACAGCCCTTAAAACATTTAAGGCTTTTTTAGCCTTATTAGTAATATTTTCAATATGCAAATCTCACTTTAAATGTTTTTGAAAAATAACGCCCAAGTACTTCACATTATGTTTATATGGAATAATGTGATTTCCAAGTCGAATCAATGGTGGCTGATCTCTCCGTTTGCCCTTAGTGAACCATACTGCCTCACATTTTTCCAAAGATAGAGAAAGATCTCTATTAATAAGAAAATCATTTACAAGCTCCAAAGCATTATTAATTTTTTCAGACATCTCAAGTATATTTGAACCCTTAACAAAAATTACCAAATCGTCCGCATAACCAATAATCTTTACATTTAAATAATTTTTAAAAGTTCTGAAATATAAATATTAAAAAAGAATAGTACTTAATGGAGAACCTTGCGGAATACCTTTAGTTGCTAAAACCGGACCTAAGAAGGAACCATCAGATTTTCTGGAAAATAACAATCTATTTTTCAAAAGTATAAAAATTAAATTAGATAATTCTACTGGAATTTGTAAATTAATAAGCAAATTATAGAGTTTGTATATGTTAACATTATCATATGCAGATTTTATATCTAAGAAAACAGCAATAACTGAATTTGACGAATTAAAGGCATCAAAAAAAAGTAGATAAATAAGCAATATTATCATATATTCCCCCTACCCTTACGAAAACCTACCTGTTCATTTGTAAACACAATTTTATTCTCAAAAACCAATCTAAACGATTTTTTTAATCATAATTTCTAAAATTTTGCCACCACATGAAGATAATACAATAGGTCTATAACTCTCTGGCAAAGTAGGATTTTTGTTTTGTTTTAAGATATTAATAATATTATATTTCTTCCACGAATCCGGTAACACACCTTCAAATAAACATTTGTTATATATTTTAAGAAGATAATTTTTAGCAATCAATGGTAAATTTTTATACATGGAATAAGAAATATCATCCATGCCAGGTGCAGAAATTTTTTTATCCTGAACAGCATAGTTAAATTCCTGACTAGTGAATGGAGGAATGTTACTATTTATATATGTTGGCGACAGTGTAAAATTCGGATCTATGTATATACTAGACATATTATATAAAAATTTGTTGTTTTAAATCATCTGAAATGTTATAACTATTAGAATTGCTGTTATTATTAGAAAATTTTTAATTTTTCCCAAACATATGAAATACTAGATTCCCTATTTAATTCACAAAAAGATTGAAATTTTGTTTTTTCTTTGATCTTAATTTTTTTCTCGTAACTGCAATACATCTTTTAGCATTGATAAAATTAGTCAAAGTTGGAACATTATTGAAAACATTAATTGCTCTTTTTCTGTCTTGAACCCACTGAAAACATTCTTCATCCCACCAGGGGTTTCCAATTTTATGATAAGAACCACATTTTTTCAAAGGAATGGCATCATCAGCAGCTCTATTCATAATAAAAGACAAATCATTATAATCTAAAATAGTACTATCTTTCTCGATTAACTGCACAGCTATTTTATGTTGATAAAGATGCCAATCAGCTTTACTACAATTTCGTACACAATAACTATTTACAAAAGTTTTTTTTTAAATATAAATTGTTTGATAAATTTAATTGTAAAATTGTAGGATAATGATCGCTATTTCCACAATCACTAATAACTTTCCAGTTAGAATTTATAGCTAATGCGCTACTGACAATTGTTAAATCAACTGCACTCAAACTGGAATTCGGATTTTGCACAAGAGTTCTAGAACCATCATTTAAAATAACCATATCATTTTCTATAATAAAATTTGCAAGCCTTATTCCGCCCCTATTAATAGGAGATTCGTCCCATAATGGATGATGGGAATTAAAATCTCCCATAATAATAATTTTATTTAAATCTAAACCATCTAAAAGTTGTTTAAACAGATCTTCCGAAACATTTTTATCTGAATTAATATAAATATTAATTAAAATTAAATCAGCAATTTTAATAATAATAAATTGAGCAACTTCTGAATTAAATTTTCTTAAATTAGAAAAAATAATATTCTTTTTGACGCAAATTGCCACTCCACCATATCCATCTTCCCTATCCTGACGAATTATATTATATGATGATAAAACAAAATTTTGATTGGATTTTAGCCATGTTTCATTTAGAAAATTATATCTGGAGACTCTTCATTTGCTAATAAGATTAAATTAGCACGATTTGAATTAACACTACGAATATTCCATTGTAAAATTTTTATATCTGATGTAGACTTCATATTGTCATTAATCTAAATTATAAATACAATATATAATTATAAATAATATGTATAATATTTGTATATGTACCATATATGTACTAATATAAATGTGTTTCTTCATTGCGGAATCGTTGATAACTTTTCATACGACAGGCACCGTCCTATGTCGCGTTCAATCGACAAAATCGCTAGGCCGGTCAACCTTTCTTAACCAATCTTCGACCGCAACTAAGTTTTTATTAATTTAAGCTTACTAAATGATCTTTCGCAGGAAGCTAGAGTCACTGGCATTGTTAAAAAATCTTTATAGCGACTACTACATTGGAAAACATCTCTTTTAGATCTAGTTCGACTATAGCTTTAAGAAGACCCAGACTTGAACTACGGTCACATTTATCAAATAATATAGTCGTTTCAACTTGACTCTTTAAAGTGTCTAATTCAGCCCAAAATTCAGTAGCATTAATATGTGCTGAATGTTTGATACTCAAATCAGTGGCATGTTTTTTTAATTCTTCAGCTGGATAATTAGCAATCATATCAGGAGTAAAAATAAGAGTCCTGCCTGGTCTGGCCATTCTTGCGCCCCCCAGAGTGTACGCCCTGTGCCTGGGCACCGGTGGCACCGCCCTATTTACGGCACTGCCCTGAATTAACCTACATATGCTCACAAAATTTCATTTCAATACAAACTGTCGTTCTCCTTGGAGCCTCCGCGGCGTGTGAGAGGCGCCACCCGGTATATGTATAAAATCTGATTTTAACAGAACGTCAACGGTTTCTTGTAGACGTATCTGTTTTCAAACAGTAAAGTGTTCTCGAATAGTTGAATTTAAATATTTTAAAACGTTTTTTTCTTTATTCTTTGGAATTTTTTGCTTCCGACGACGGAAAGAGGTAAACATTCCGAAACGTTAAGCATTTTTTTCTTTGTTAAAATTTGTATAACTGTAAACATAACTTCTGACAAGCAGTGTCCCTTTAAGTTTAACGCAGAAGTGTTTACAAAAAAAAAATAACTATTTTATTTTGTAGATTTTCTTGCAGTGCAGTGGCGAAATACCCATAAATGATTTTTTTGGAGAGATGTTATTTTTTGTCTAGATCAGACGAAAAATATACGGGAAAGACCAGCTTTGTCTATTTTAATTGGAGCCGAGAAAAATGCAACACATTCTAACACTAAATTAGTCCCCGTTCGTTTTAATTTTTAAAGAAATATATTATTTCCGGTTGAATAATTAGAGAAATATACATTACTACCAATTTTGAATTATTAAATTAATATCGTTTTAATTACCGCAATATTCTGAAAAACCGAAATAAAAATGTCAAGATGCACAACAAAACAGGGGAAAAACCATGGATGTCAAATTAAAGGTTGTATAAATCGACCTAAATCTAAACTATTATTTTTTGTTGTAGGAAGAAAATTAATAGTTAAATTAAGTTTTTATTAGAATACATACATTTACTACATGTAATACTAACTGCAAGATGCATGCTTGTTGCCTATGCACGGCAAAATAACCAAGCTCTAATATCTCTAGTTTTTCCCGTGTAGTCTTCAGATTATCATAGTAGCAATTTAAGTAAATCCACATAAAGTTTCTTCAGTAACTCATTAATAAAAAAATTTGTTGGAAACTTTTTGACACACTGTAAAAATTAATTCTAATTGTTATTTAGACCTAAGAGGGCAGCCAGGCCAAAAGACTTGAAGGACGCATCATTAAAAGTGTATGTATATTATTTTCAAAATAATGCGTATATCTGTAAATAATCTTTTATATTTTAGGAAGTTAAGAAGAATGGTCTAGTATAATATGTAACTAGCTGGAAACTAAAACTGATTATTATTTAATGTAAAAATGATTTTTTGTTAATTTAATATTTTTTCTGTAATGTTTTGATTCAGATATGTAAAAGTTGTGTTTACAATTTATATACAAAATAGTTTTATATGTGTGCTCCAAATGTTTTATGGAGTAATTATATTGTACTAGTTTTTTACCTAAATTAAATGGATTTATGAATATGTTTTAAATGTTTTATACTTCCATTTAACTATGGTGCACTTTAATTTAATTTAATTTTTTAATTTAATTTGTTTATATCCTGCCCAAATGCGTAACTAAATTTACTGTTCAATTAAATTTACTGTTACCAAGATCACTGACAGTGGTAGTTGTGTCTGTCGTTTTAATTCACAGACAAATAGTATTTTCTGACATTTTTTTTTGGATGTCGTCTGTGGAAATCTTCCCTGAATCGTTAGATAGACTATACCTATTAAGGTTGTTATAAATTAATATCACAGCAGATCACAGTTAATATTGTAGAAATATTAGGTAAATATCAGTGGCGGATACAGAGGGGGGCCCATGGGGCCCGGCCCCCCCCCCCCTAAAATCTGTAAATTGAGTAAAATATTAGGCTTTTGGGTTAAAAATGGCGCCGTAAAAAGCAAATTCTACCTTTGGCCCCCCCCCTAAAATAAATTCCTGTATCCGCCCTTGGTAAATATTATATATTCAGATATAAAAAATAGTACTTTTGCATAATACATTTTTAACTTTTATTTATTTAATATAATAGTGTTTTATTTTTATATTTCTTTTTAAAAATAGTTCAACTATAAATAAAATGATAAGTTAATTTTAATTTTCCCTGTTTTTCTTAACTATTAACACGGCAAGCCACGCTACGCCATGCCACCTCACGTCATAAGTCATAAGATCTGTGCGTATGTGTTGCGTACACATTAGGGCGCACGCCACCCCACGCCACGTCATCCTATGCTATCAGGCTATCACACATATGATGGGCGATTCGTCTGTCCCAGATCTCATGTGTACACTCTTTCCCACGTCGCAACACGTGGGATAGCGTGACGTGGCGTGGCATGTGGCCTAATGGGATTTCGGCTTTACTTTTTTATGCGTCTCTGATTCTGTATTGTTTACGATACCATTATAGGAATCAGTTTTTTATGCTATTAATGTAATTTTTACATGATTTCTACCCGTCTCTTTATTAAATATCGATGTTTCACTATAAGGTATCGATATACCTAGACATCACTATCGACATCATATACGCTTTATAAGAATATGATCCACTCTACACTATAATTTCTAACCATAGAATAAGTGGAATCAGCAACTTTCCTAACCATAGATAAAAAATAAACTAATTAAATTGTTTCTAACCCTACTTATTGCATGGGCCGGTGAAAATTTTTTTAATATATTTTTGTATTTCTGTTATTCTGGTTCTTAACGAATTATGGATTCTTCTGTATCGGCGTTCTCAATATATAGTGCTCAGAACATAAAGCGAAAGCCTAATTTAAATATCAAAGATAAACATGCACCATCAAAGAAGTCGAAAGTTACAAAAAATATTGCCCCTGAATTCACTAAAGAAAAAAATAGAAATGGTGTTCAAAAAGTTAAAACACGTAAGCGTAAAAGGAAAACATCTAAAGCAGGTATTTCAAAAATACAGAATGTAAATGGAGCACTTCACTCTGATGATGAAATTCCTATTCTAATACCTATAATTGATAAACAACTCCACCAAAAAACTACAGTGAAATTAGATAAGCCAAGACAAAAGAACAGTTCTATTGAAATTAGTTCTGAGAAGGAGTTACAATTAAAAAAACGTAGGATAAATATTTCTACAACTGTGTTTAATCCTGTAATACAAGGTATAGGAATATTTAAGTGGATAATAGATCCTATTACACCCAAGGAATTTTTTGAGAAGTATTGGGAAAAAGATGTCTTGTATATTAGTAGGTCAGACACAGCTTATTTTGAAAACATCTTTAGTACTTACAAATTAGATAGTATTTTAAGGGAATACCCTTTACATTTTACAAGAAATATAGATGTTGTTGTTTACGAGAATGGAAAAAAAGAAGTATTTAATCCTGAAGGCAAGTTGCATAAAATTTAGTATTGATTATTTTATAGTGTTGTTCAATGGTTATGATTTTAGGTAGAGCAGTGCCATCACAACTGTGGGATTATTATTCAAATGGATGTAGTATCAGGGTTTTGAATCCCCAATCATATGATCAAAATATTCATTCTATAATTTCAAGTCTTCAAGAATATTTTGGAACTATGGTTGGTACCAATCTTTATCTAACACCTCCAGGAAGTCAGGGATTTGCACCTCATTATGATGATATTGAAGCATTTATAATTCAGTTAGAGGGGAAGAAGCATTGGAAGTTGTATAAACCAAAGTAAGTAATCACTTTTATATAATAGGTATTTTAAGTACAGAATAAAAAAAAATTGTGTGATCTGTGTTTTCTGTCATTTGTATGACTAGTTTACTCATAATCTTATTAATCTCTAGGCATGAGGATGTACTCGCAAGAAATTCAAGTATGAATTTTAAAGCAGAAGAGTTAGGACCACCTTTTATGAAAGTTACTCTAAATGCTGGAGATGTATTGTACTTTCCAAGAGGCACAATTCATGAAGGTACATATAAAATCTAATATGTATTTAGAGGTTTATTAGTTTAATTTTATTTAAGGACATACAACTCCTGATGCTCATTCACTACATATCACTGTATCAGTTTACCAACATACAGCTTATGCAGATTTACTAGAACAAATATTACCAAATGCCATAAAAAATGCTGCAGCAAAAGATGTAGAGTTTAGGTAAAATATGGCTGAGATAATAAGAATTTTAATTGCAGTATGTATATTTTAGGAAAGGGTTACCACTTAATTATTTAAAACATTTAGGAATAGTAAATCAAAATGACCCTTCGACTAAGAGGGAGTTTATGGTAAATAAAGTAAAATCTTTGATAGAATCGCTAGTGAATTATATAGACGTGGATGTAGGAGCAGATAATTTAGGAAGAAAATTTATGCATGATGCTATGCCTCCTTTGTACTCCAATGAAGAAGCTGAGAGATCTTCTAAATTTGACGGAGATTTTCTAAGGAATGGGAAGGTATTTAATAGGTAATTTTTTTTCAGTTTAACATCTTAATTAGTCAGTATCTTAAACTTAATTTATATAATAAATCTCTGAATCTCTCTGATTCACTTATTTTTGTATTGATAGAATCGAAATTGATCTGGATACAAAAATTCGTCTTTTACGGTACTATGCAATTAGACTTGTTAAAGATGGCGATACATACAAACTGTTTTATTGCACGGACAATGCCAAAATTTACCATGGAGAAGAAGAGCAGTGGCTTGAAATTGACAGTTCTCTGATTCCTGGAGTTGCGACGTTACAGAAAAAATATCCTGAATTTATTGGTAAGTGAATTTATGGCGCCTTTTATTTTTTTTTTGGACAATAAACATATGAAAATAATATGAAAAACTTAAATTTTAAACAAATTTTACAATATTTTTTTTACAATATTGTTATCATATATACAGGGTTAGTAGAGGGAGATGGGGGTTTCTAAATCAATGGTGGTGGAGGAGGAACAAACGGATGTGACTTAAAGCAGGTAAGAACATGTAAAATAAGCTAATAAACAAAAATAAACCAGTTTAGACAGAAAACAACTTCTAAAATGCTTAAATTAACCGGATTGTTTTTTTTTCTTGTTTAAATTTGTTTAAACAAGAAACAACCGCTTTAAAACTGAAATAAACCTGTTTATTCTTGTTTATTAGCTTATTTTACATGTTCTTACCTGTTTTACGTACTTTCCGGTTCAAAAATAGATTTTTCAAGCACTTAATGGTACCACGCAAGTACCATATTTTTTATTAAATATTATAATGTCTTGAACATTTTTTTTCTAGACAATATTAGGTTGAGGGTTATTTGTTTTTTTATTCTCTTTTTAAGAGAGTTTGGTTCATTTTGTTCATTTTTATTAAATAGATGAAAGAAAGAGTTTTAATTTCTTATAGTAAAAAAGTTTTAAACACGTTTAAACAATTATAATAACCTTGCATAAAATATATGTAAATTATATTATATATAAAAATAACTTATATTTTTTTACTATACTGTGCTACTACTAAGTGCGAAAAAAATCAGGTTACCGCTTCTTGAAAATAAGAGGGGGCCTTTCATATAAAATTTATGGATGTGGCGCTTCCCTACTATTTGGTTATATAGGTGACTCAAAATCATAAGAAAGTTGTTGTATATTGGCCATGCCTTTTTCAATAAATGCATAATAATGTTTTCCCATTTGTTGTGTATTTTTGCTACCAAATTGTTATTATATAACTTACTTCCATAACAGCTGTTCAAGATATACCTGTTGAAGATATTACTGCCAAACTTCAGTTTGTGTCTGACCTATGGGAAAGAGGCTTGATAGTTACTGAAGCTCCTTTACCGAGCGCGTCTTCTGATGTTGAGAGCGATGACAGCAGTGTTGATAACAGTAGCGAATTAGTAGAGTCGGCCAGTGATTAAAGGGACTGTATTTTTATTAACTATATGTTTTGATTATATTCATTTTGTTTTAAAATATATATGGTTATATTATTGTAATCTGTCTCATTTATCAGTTCAGAATCAATAAATACCTATGCATTAAGTTTATTTAGATCTTTTTTACATACTTGTGAGTGTCGTGATATTCAAAGTTGATCCTTAATGTAATTGACCAGTGGGGATAGTAACTGACGAGTAGATTTAGTTTTTACTTTCACTGATATTTTATGGGAAGTGTTTTTGAGTTTTGAGGATACTAAGGGCTGGCAAAGGTTCGTTTTGGGTCGAGATTTCCGTATGTAAGAAGAGTACAATGCGTTTATAATTTACTGAACAAAGAGAGAACGTTGAAAACCTTGCCAAACGTATGAAATAAACCGAGAAACTATGCACATTGCCAAGAGACGTGGAAGGGGTTATTGCAGATTCGTCACGGTCGACCGGTCGACCCAATCATTACTTAAAATTCTAGGAAAGAGTGTACATGCGTGCAGCTTCACGATTTGACTACATCTCGTGATACGTTATTTGTTTGTTTATTAACAAGTCTTTGTAATTTTCTCTATAGCTTGTAAATTTTTAAATGCAAGTTAGGAACACTTGTATTTTTGGTAAAAATAAGCGCAATTGAGTTGGTGTTCGATAGTGGTCGCGCTATTTGAACTCTGAATTCAAAAATGGATATCTCTAAATCCATTAGAAATAATTGATTGTAGTTTTTTTTCAAAAACTTTCTTAATATTTCTGCTATATTTTCTTTGCAGACAGTATTTGAAAATCTTTATAAATAAAAAAGTTACGCGATTTCTGAACATTATTTACGTAGGAAGTAGAGATTGGTACGCTTCGGCTAGGAGCTTGAGACGACCCGTGAGTGTACGGTCTTAGAGTTGCCAGCATGGTATATCATCAGCCTATAAACTATTTATTTTAATTTTAATTTCTTAAAATTCCTCTTTAATGCAATATATTGGATAATTATTTGCTCTATTTTACAGGAATTTTTAATTACTTACTCTTTAGTAATTACGTTAAGGAAAGATAATAAATCTATTCATACATATGTGTATATTTTTATTATTTTCCAATTATGATAAAATCTTTCCCTTTTTTTTGTCTTATCGACAAAGAAATGTGAATCATGGACTAAATGATTATGACAATATTAAATAAAAAGAAGATTGTTTTAAAGGAATAAAATAAAATTACTTTTTTTCTGGTTGTTTCAATACTTTTATTACACCAACAATTATATTGTAATAATATTTATAACAAAAATTATTTCTAATTATAAAATTTAAATAAAGCTAATGGATTCCTAAAACATAAACTGTGGAAGCATTTTATAAGTTCAGGGTTGTCGCTCCAAAAAGAAGTGGCGATCTACCAATGCCGTGGCCTTTTTGGGGCAACAATCCTTTAGTTTCTGCTAATTAATTATGATTAAAAGAAATCAACCCAAAAGCAAAAGTACCACTACGGAAACTATTTACATATTTTAAAACGATACCTATATAAGATGTGGCGGGAAAAAAATAGTTGTACCTCTTGTTTTTTTAATCGATGCTACACAACAAAGATTTATCAAGGCAGGATTTTTCTTTTAACAATTTTTTGAAAATTAAATAAGTAAAATGTAGCATATATTTGTCGACGGAAATAACCAATAGACACAAAATGTATGTTTTGTTTGTACAATTATTTTTTTAAAGATTTTTTCCAGATTTTCTTACACTAAATACATTTTACAATATAAGTACATCTGCGGATATTCTGAGTATTGAGGTAATATTTTTCATTTTTAAAACTTCGAGCAGAACAGAAATAGAACCACACATATTTTTTTTATTATATACTATATTTCATTCTCTCGAAGCTTTTTTCATAGCTTTGTAGTTTAAAGTATGTGTTGTACTGATATCAAGGCAACTTGTTTCATACAGATTGGTACACACTAGAATTCTCGAGTAAAAAAACACAAAATATAATGTTAATTATTGATTGATTGTTTAAAAAATATTTGAATCAATTCAAATTAAGTGTGCTCTAGGACTTTTCAATAGCTGTTTTTGCGAGTGGATCATAGATGGGGATCATTTCTTCAAAAAGATATGGCTGCTCTATGCTGTATTACTTTTTATTGACCGGTATTATGTGAGATCAAAATGGTATAGAATCCTCATCAAGTATATTGTAAAGTCTTGGTATGATATTTTTTTTCTTGTATTCTGAAATGTTGCCTAGATGAATTTTTGAATAATGATTTCTAATACAAAATATAAACGATACAAAATTCTAGTGTTCGTACTGGATCTTTTAAAGTAAAGAAAACAAGCTTTTAAAAATAATGGACATAATTTTACGGCAGTGAAGTATTATTTGCTGAAACATCGAAAACCATTTTAACTCCCTATACATTTTTCTAGTTACATTTTCTGAGTCTAAAAATTGATAGCGTCTATATGAAAATAAATTAGGTTTATATATTATCCCTGAGTTATTATTTAGACTCAGAATTTTCTCTAAATATACTCTTTTATATAGAAAATTTCCTACAGTTATGTTCATTACTCATGATATGATTTTTTGTACGAATGGGAGAGATTATCGAAATACAAAAGTTAAAATGGTTTTTCCATGTTTACTTTTAACATACATCTAACGTCTATTTTTCACGCCAAATTCTTGTAACAAAATCTATATAGGCTTTATTACTAGTTGACATAAACATTGTAGTCCAAAGATTATTTTTAAAAGATAATTATTTATATAAAGGTATATGTGTACATAAGAAATATTTATGTAAAATATCTTAATTTTTGCTACCCCATAGATTTTTAATAGATTTCTTTAGGTACGAATTTTAATACTGTTATAGTAATTCCTTGATATACTTACTTTTTTTCTCGTATAGTATGCTTGGCATGAATATAGATATGCTTGATTTTTTTCTTCTAGTAATAACGAATAACGCTTAATTGTACAAACTTACAACTAACAACTAATTTATAATAATGAAAATAGTTTTATACATCAAAACAGATAAACGACAACCTATACAATATTTCTGTCAGTTTCGTACACATCCGTTATTTGCATATTTCTTCACCTATTTTACTTTAAGTTTTATGAATTGCATTACATTTAAAAATTACGGTGAAGCTGTTACATTTAACATATACACAATGAAGTCATTTAACGGTTGTAAACAAAATTGGTACAGTAGTCCATTCTTACAACTAAATAAAAAAAAATGCAAAGATTAGCACTTTTAAAAATACTAAAAAAACGAAATTACCCTAAAAATATTAAATTTTGAAAAAAATTCAATGGCACGTTTGTTTAAAGAATATTTTTGATTGCTAAAAACTCTATCTTTCAATTTATTATTCAAAAAACGTCTTTGGTAGGGCCATATCACAAAAAAATAAATAATTTTTTTAACCTAGTCAGACGATAAAAATTTCTCCCAAATATAGATATTAATAAATTCACAGCACTAAAGATACAGTCATCAATGTATGCTCAACGGTTTCTATTCCAAAAATAACCGTGCCTATTATTTCAGATCAAAAGAGATGTATTTTGAAATTTAATCATTTTTCATAATACAGTACTTATATAGTTCGTATTTTATATCACCTACATCCTTTCGATGTGATATGTATCATTCCACAAATTCTTTTAAAAATATTGATAATAATCGACCGTTTGGAACAAACTTTAAAAAATGATTTCTGTAAATCAAATAAATTAAATAGCAAATATTAAAAGTATTTATATAGATTAACTCCAAAAATATCATTATAATTACCCTTTTACTTGTTTCTTAAATATTTGATCAGTAAGTACTGTATTTGAAAAAAATATTAAATTTTCAATTTGATTTAACTCCTCTATGTGCTCCTGAGCGTGTATTAACCTAAATTTACAAAAATAATCACAGAAAATTTCGTAAAAATATCAAAAAACGATCAATATAAAGCATAATAAATACGACGATAAAAAATAACCACAAATAAATCACAACGTTCGAGTGTTCGCCTTTTTAGTGATGTAATTTTATAACCCACCCAAACATAGCTCGAGACCACATAGAGAATGTTGTCGGCATACACATTCCTACACTGACTTAAAAATTATATATGATTAACTATGTCAATTATAAAAGTAATTAACCAAAATTTAATAAAAAAATTGGCACATTTTTTATTTACAAGTTACATTAACCCTGGAAAGATATGTTAATTAATTAGAGGCCTTAGAAGCAGCAAAACACTTTATTTAATAATTACTTTTAAGATTCTAAACCGTTATGTTTAAAATTGTAATGTTGCCATGCTCCTAAAGCCTAATATGTGAAAAAATTCACAGAAAGTTTAGTCAAAAGTTCTTTTAACGTAAGTTACGTACATATACAATTAGTTTATTTTTAGTTTCTCTTAATAGTACCTACATTTTAAAGTAGGGTCCTTATTACCTACTAAATAATGTTCTCTGTTGAAAAACCTAATGAGCAATAATATAATCCGCATTATTTATTACATATATTCTGTTCATTTTCTTCAAGTTCTCACATAATATATGTAGTAAGTAATTCAGAAATTAATATAGGGGTTTGGCCACAAGGAAGTCTCATTTCTTTCAAGACACAGTAACGAATAATCACAGAAACACAGAATAGGGGAATGCTTGCTTTCTGGTGCATATTTTAAGATAGTGACTGGCGATCAGATCACCTTCGAGTACAGTGATTATAACTAGAAATACAGTGAAAGTTTTTTTTTGTGATATGAGTAAGGATATGTTAGTGACTGTTGGCTTTAACACATGCCCAGTATGGGGACAATCATCTATAGTGGTGCCTTTTAAAAGTGTTGTATTATTTCAAAGACTGTAGACCTAGCAAGCATTTTAATACTTCGACAACGAAACGTTTGTGGTGCAAAATCGAAGAATTTATTTTTGTTTTGCCAAATAAATACCACGTATAAAAACTATATGTTTGTTTCTACTCGTATTTTGTACTTTATTTTTCCGGCTAGGCCGTCACTTTTAAGGCAGTGACTTCTAGAATTTTCATTTTTGTACAGCTGTAAGAGAGCCAGTAAAGTGATATGTTCTTTCGTAAAACATAATAAAATAAATAAACTTTTTGTTAAAGAATGGCGTATCATAGATCAAGATATTATGAAATACTATTATTTTATATTTGTTAGTTGATGATGGCGTTTTCTTTACAAGCATTTCTCGGCAAAACTAATCAAAGAAGAGATCTTTTTGTGGTAAAATTGCAAGATCTACTGCATCCGTTGACCTCCATGTGGAGGACTTACATTAGCTCCTACACCCAGTACACTTTTTATAGCTGTGGTTTTTAGAAGTCTCTTCAACATGCCGCTGGAGCCTCTGTGCTGGAGACTCTTGTGCGTGGTTAGCGAATTCTTGGTCCTGTAGCGTCTATGACAGAACTCACAAACGTACAGGGTGTCGGACTGCTCGTGCTTGTCCTGGAAGTGTCTCTTCAGCGAGTAGTAGCAGCTGAAGGTGCGACGGCAGTAGGGACACTCCTGGGGTTCGTTGATGCCACCGCTGGTTGGGGGCGGCATTCTGATCGTGCCTGGAATATTACCTTTACTTATGGCGGGGTGTCGAATGTAAGGAGTGGGCATGCACAGTGGCGTGCAAGGTCGTTCACAACACCGAGGTAAGCAGGCGTCAAGCGGCGGTACGGATTTGGCAACACTGGGAGCTAAGGAGCAGTACAAAAGCTATTGACATTTACGATTTTTTTTGTTGTCACGTGACATGACACACTTGTCTTTTCATGGACAACATTATTTTGATTGATATGAGAGATACCTTGAATGCAATACTATAAAAATGCTAATCTAATGTATTATAGATGAATAATAATTCTAAAATATATTTTATTAATACAACTTATTTGAAACATTTAGTAGAGATAGAATATGAAATATAGTAGGTATCTTTTAGCATATAAGTATGAGTAAATTGTGCAAATTTGTGGTACCAATGAAAATAGTTGGATTCAATGTTTAACTTGAACATAATACGTTATGAACGACTGGCCCCATTGTCCAGTATAGAATACTAAACTATATCAGTCAAAAAAAAAATTCAACACAATCGTGTGGACATTGTATTAACAGCCTAATAATGGTATAATATAAAAAATATACATATACATGTTAACATAATTGTTTCGATTTAATTCATGTACTTAGTAAGTGGAAATTCAGTTTAATGTTTTACTGACATATATCCCTTATAAATTGATACAGAAAGTAGTAGTATACATTAATGTTTGTGAAAAATGGAGCAATGGAGCTCTATCGTGTTCTTTTGTTGAGTTAAAGAATGGCGAATCATAAAACAACATATTATGATTTTCTATTATTATATACATTTTTTAGTAGGTTAGCACTTTTTATAACATTTTTCTTCAAGGTAAGAACATTGTTAGGATACGTGACATTTTTTTGCATCAATCTCATATTTTTTATAGCTGAGTATTTTCTTCCTTTGTTCTATTTGAAAAGAAACAAATATAAACAAATATAATGATCTTACAAACTGTCCTTTATTATTTTTTATTGGGTTATATTTCTATTATTTATAATTGAATTTTTATTTTTGTGTATTTAATCACACATTTCCAATAGGAAATTACATTCTAAAAATTTAATAATTTTTCTTATGTCAGTTAATAATGAATTATGAGATATACTGGAGTAACAAGAATAAATGTTTGAATATACAGCAACTCTTTGATCATAAAAGTTAAAAGACTTCCTACTAGTCTCTAATTTTTAGTAGGTAGATATTATCTGGTTTTAAATTTATAATATTCGATAAATATAAGAAAGTTTACATGAAAGATGACATTTTGTTAGCGGAAATTGATCGTCTTTATAATGTTGGACTTCAAAGGCTTTGGAGAATTTTATTTGTCAGTTTTATAAGATGTATTTTTAGTTACAACGGCGTCCTCATTCTATTTTCTTGTTTAATTTAGCTGTTCTTTCGAAAAGTATTAAAACCACCTAGTCCTGGTGTATTTTATAGTTTTTATTATTCTGTTCGATTTTTCAAGTTTTATTTTCTGTATATATTTGCTGTAATCATCCTAATCAATAAAATTAAACTTTACTTTTATTCTCTAGTCATTTTGATTTTTGATCATTAAAGCTTTTTTATAATCTACTGATTGTAACATTAAAATAGTATGCTTAAAGTTGAAAATAATATAGATAAATAGCTCATAGGTACTTATGTTAGAATGTATTTCTGAACTACTTTGTGAATTTTATCACGTGAAGGAAATTAACGTTGGTATTCACTAGAATTATATACAAAACAATTTTTGTTATTTTAAGATATAATCGACAGCGTTGTATAGAATTTTCAAATTTTCTACCGGATATTTGGGTGAATCTTAAATAAGTGCTAATATTTTTAGGGGTAGTATACTTCGACCCCACAAACATGATTATGAGTTTTTTTTGGGATTTTTTAATTTTTTTAGGTTTTAGTTAAAAACATAATTTCTTGATAATATGCCAACATAGGTAGTAGATTAAATTTACATAAAACAAAAACCAGAAAAGCTCCAGTGGTTTTCAAAATTTTAGGAAAAAAAAATTTTTTTTTGGAATTTTTCAAAGTAAAATAACTCGGTTATTTTGGTATTATTTGAAAAACGGTAGAGATAAAATATGTTTCTTTTATCGAGATCTACCAGCACTGAAACTATTTGCACTTACTTAAGACTCACCCTGTATATCTTTAGTAATTCATTTTCTTCCGTGAAAAAATAAAGAGATGTTTCTCAGCGAAGCAATTTAGTCGTGCAAAAAATGTCCCGTTTTCCAAAATCGTTCGAACGTTCGTTGTTTTAATACCTGTGTCCACGATGGAAGGTAACGGCATGTGTTCTGGCTAAAAAAACTTAATGTCAATGTCCCCAGGTCTGGACTTGTGATACGTATAGATGTGCGTCATCAGCGAGTTCCTCGAACAGTAGACCCGCTCGCAGATAACGCAGCGATACTCTTCCTGCCGTTCTGCGTGTTTGTCCGCGATATGTCTCTTCAAGGACGCTTTCGAGCACAGCACTTTGCCGCAAAGCTGGCACGTGAACACCTTCTTGGGCGATACCCCTGCAAAAGTAAAAACTTCGTTCGTTCTGCGCATCTGTTTCGGGCCGGCTCGATCAGAGCCGACGCAGCCGCGCGTGTCGCCACCAGCTTTCGAACCGATCGCGAGACGAATGCTTACGACGATTGCCGACGATGCCGCTTAGCCATGTAAATGACCGCACACTCGCGATCTCACTTGAGAATTGTCCCGTATTCGACTAACCGGTAGCACGACTTATTAAATATCAGCTTGGTTTTTCTCAACACCGACGTCCTTGTTTCAAAGTAAATCGCCACAAGATAACCAGCTAATATTGAATAAGTTTGTAGTACCAGTAGTGCTGAGTTAATATCAATATTTCTCGGTATGAACAAGTTTGTAACTCATTTTCATTACTTCTTCATCAATCAAATTAGAACATTTTTTTTTGAAATTGATATAGGTTTTTCGGGTCGGGCAAAAAGCTAAAAAATGAGTTACTAGCTTGGTCGTTGAGGGTATACTAATATTTCAGAATCACTAATATCAAATATATTATAATATAAATGCTAGAAGAAGTATACGATTGATTTTTAAAGTAATATGTATGATATGAAAATTTTTAAAAAATTCTTCGAATGTTGTGACATGAGTTTTTTTGAATTATTGAAAATTGTAATGTAATTTCTCTGAAATTTTTGTTCAAGCTAATTGCCGGTAGTTGGTTATGTATATGTATATAATCATTATATTATAAGACGTTTTATAATAAGTTGCAGATTTTTATCCTTTTATAAGGTTGCTATTAGGTTAATAATACATGGATATTAGATAAAACCATAGATTATCTTGGTTAAAAATAACGCTTTATAGCACAAAAATGCGCAGATTCTTTTCAGTACTTTTGTCCGTCTATTACATTATTTTCTTTTTTATTGAACAATATAAATTCTGCACTTAACTGAAAATATATTCCTTTAAACTTTAGGTGTATAAAATATTATACATTATTTTAAAGTGTATCAAGGAAGAAATAACATTATTGAGAATATAATAAGTAACTTTGTTGTTAATCAGCTTTAGATTATTTTTTCAAGAAGTCAAAAATATATTTGATAATGTCTGTAACTTTAGGCGCAAGTTATTTTTTCTCTAACTATTGAAGAAATATTAGTGATCACGAATATCTGTGGGTAATACTGATATAATAAAAAAAATACTTATAAAATTCTATAATCACTGGTGGGACATCGGGTCGTACAACGGAAGAACGAACTCAGATATTACTAGAAGTCGGGAGGTATTCCCAAGAAGGTGTTCTGTTATCGCAGAATTGTTTATTATATTGCCGATTAACTACAGAGTTGCCACCCAAAAACATCTTAACGACGAAACATTATTTGGAGCTTACGTTACCTTTACTAAAACCTATTAACTCAATTAAAAAAAAATATATAACATTATAATATTTTTCCTAAATATAAATTTAGCATAAAAGCAAAAATACAAACATACAGAAACTTCAACCCGTTGAAAAATCAGTTACGCTTAGAAATTTCCAAGTAGGTGGCAACCCTATCCTTTACGAGATTACACTAACAATTGTACAAAAAAGCATATGTATACTTGGCAACCATGAAATTTTGAGTGTGCGGTTTGAAAAAGATGGCTGGCGGACGGTTTTTTCACTCCCGATTGCGTTTTTAGTGGTGGCAACACTCGCAGTGTTGATAGCCTCAAATGCAAGTCATTCAGTTAAAAACTGTTCGGTTTGTTATGAAAAAGATGAATAATATTTTAACTGACTGTATTGCATAAAAAGCCTTATTTTCTGAATGAAAACACACACAGACAAACTTAAACACTCACACACACAGTACTAAGACTTTTAAAAACAAACGTGTTGTTAAAAGTCTTCATTAAAATATATCTTCAAAGCATTAAAAATAAAACCCAAGCTGTTGCTTTGCAAATGTAAAAATATATTTAAACATAAATAAAAGTTACACAACAGTTACATAAAATATGATAAAATATTGCATCAAACAACATTGAAACATGCCTATAATGCAAAAAAATAAAAAGAAAAAACGTCTCTAACAGGACTAATAAATTTTCTTAGAAAGAGCACGTAGTATTGAAAAATATAGATAAAAAAATGCTTACTGGATTGAATTAGAATAATATAAACCTTAAAAGTTAAGTAATAAATAAGGTGCTCTTCTAAAATTTCAAAGTAACACAAAAGAAAACTAACGGGGTTGCCAATATCTTAAAAGTCTAGAAAAAAAATAAGAGATAGACCGCGATTCCAAATAGCAAATCAGTCAAACTAGTCAGATTCAGTCTTAAAGAATACCTTCAAGTCTCAAGAAAATATAAAATTTCAGTCTTTTTAAACGTAGTAAGTCCTGTCCTCTCCATTTTTTAAGAAAATTATAAACATACTTTATATCTATATAGTAATGAACATCACTTAACCCTAAACAATAATTCTTAACTAAATAAAATAATTATGTGAAACAGTGTAATGTAATAAGAACTTACTAGATATCTTAGAATATGATTAATATACATGTTTTTATATTAACAACATATTATCTACATATTATCTTTATAGTAATGAAATTACGGTAAACTTTACCATTGTTATGTTAATATAAAAACATATTGATTCCTGTAGTACAAAACTAAAAATTCGTGAAGCTACTAAACACTAAAATATATATTTTTATTTATTTTATTGTGCAAGCACTAGGTGTCGAATGTAGCACATAAAAGTATTAATTTAAATCAGTAAATACCGAAAAGAATACGAGAACAAGATGACTAGAAAAACTTTTTTTGTTTAACGATGTCAACATATTTTTTATTGCACAATTTTAAAGTTATCTTTATGTACTACATTTAAAAGCTTTAAAAAATACAAAATATATTATATATAATTTCCTTATACTAAATGAAAAATATATTATTATATCTATTAAGAAATCCCCTTTCACCCAGTAATATAAAATAAGGCAAATACTCTATATAACATTATCTGAAAGAGTGTTTTATACAAATTTTAATATACAAGTTGAATAACGTTACATTTTACAATAAAGAAATTATAAAACTTTTAACAAAATATCACAGCGCCTAAAATATTGAAAAATAAATGTAACGTCATATTCTTAGTAGGTATTTTACATACATAGTATTTTCAATTAAGTTGTACAAAATTAGTGAACAGTAAACAATGATTTTTCCAATTTAAAAATTATTTGTATAAAAATATATTTTCGAGATGAAAAACCAAAATAAATTAATACTCTGTTGATATCACAGTTCTTAGTTTTATTCTATCCTAATTTTGATTACTTTCAGTCCTTTTTGCTTCCAATCAACTAAGTTCAGTCTTTGAAACAGTTTTGTTTCCAATAAAATATATTTATTTAGTTGAGACTCATTAACATGGTAACTTTACCTTGTACTCTAAACGTGTACACTAAACAGTCTTTTTGATTGATATTTTTTTGAATTTGTGTCACTCATTATCATCAATTCACTAATTTTGTACGGTATATTTTTTTCTAAGTACTATAATACGCACTCGTATGTACATATTAATTTGAGATATCGTTTTAAATAAATTTAATATAATTAAGTATATGTTAAATAGAATCATTGCTTAATAGTAGTACTATTTATATATGTACTTTGTAGATGCTTGAAAGCCTTGAAAATTATAAAGAATGAATATATAGTGGTCTAATTTACATAATTATATTGTAATATATAAAAACTAAACGGGAAATCTAAACGGAATGTAGAATAAAACTGAAAACATAATGAATTAAATTCAATATTTTTATGTGTTTTTGGTCAAAATGATTAAATAATTAGAGGTGATTAGGAAGATTTTATAGTTAAGTACTTCCTTTCTGTTCATAACCGTTTCGTATCTGATACACCAATATTTGTTTATGGCATTTGGATAATAGTAAGTCTCTCTGAGTTAGATATTTTATAAATTAATAGCATTTAAATATTTATTTGCTTTCTGCTTTGTCTGTTTTATCTGTAAAATCGTTTGTAAGTTTTCTTTTTTTATTACTGTAGAAAAATAAAAAAAAATAATTTGAAGAAAAGTAAACTGGCTTATAACTTATCTGACTTAATTGTAAATTTGTCTAGAATTGAAATGTTTAATATTTTATGTTAAGATCCAAATACTAAAATTACAAAAAAAATGAGAAAGGGATTAATATATAAATGTGCAATGTCATTGATTACAGTGTTTTTATAAAATGAAATTATTGCGTAAAGTTTTGCTAAAAGCAATACTTTTATAATTTTGCTGTCTGCAAGTTTTTGATTTCGTAGCTGCAAAAAAATAGATTAGGAAATAATTGTCAATACTATTGTGAATTTGTTAATATTTTAATTTTTATTCCAGCTATCTTTGAGATAAAGTTAGACAAATATATTTATCTAAGATATTTATCTACTTTTAATGCAGCAACAAAATTTACAAAATTGTCGGAAACTATCTTGGTTGGACGTATACGTGATGTTAACTATTCTTAAACACAACTGATAACAGTTCATAAATTGAAATAAACTATATTTTTTTTTATTTTTGTTACCTAAAATGTTCATAACTCTCAATAAAATATTCTATTATCACAATATTTTTTCAATTAAGGTTTTTTTTTCTAATTCTATAACTATATAAATGTAACATAAGTTATAAAGGAAAAACATATTTTAATAATATATAAACTTACGATTATGTATATATTTTTCACTATATTCTAAAAATTAAATATTAAGTAATAACTTGATTATTGATAGGAATATTTTCAAAAACCATAAATGTTGTTTTTAATAGTACTTCTGATTTATCTGTTAAAAACATTTTGTAAATAATTCTTGTATATAAATTTCCTGTATCAGTTGTGCTTTAAAATATTATTTTTGAGGATCGTATGACATAATATTTCAAATTACAGTGCAATTTCCTTAATCCAGTCACATGTAATAGAAACATTTTAATTGTTGTTATCGCCTCTAAGAGTTTCGAGATAAATTTAAGAGATTTGGAACTAGCTTGTGAGAAACTGTGCCCTTAAAATATCAACAAATAATTTAATTCATTTAATAATCGGGATACTATATTATAAAAAATAAACGTCATAAGTCAAAATACAAAAAATTTCCAACCAAAACTCTATTTTCTCTTCTTTTTTGCTAATATATCTTTTCCTAATTTTTAAATACTATAATAAAACTTGAACATAATAAAGATTTGTTGATAAAAAATGTATTAAACATTATTATATTAACTATAATCGTTTAACTACATTGATTTTAGTTTTAATTCAGTTTAATTTAAAGATTTCTGACAATCTGAATTTGTCTTAATATAGTTAGTAAAATGTATGCAGTGCATATATTTTTAATTTCAACAAATAGTTTATATTACAGTGTCATCTTTTGTATAATATTCAGTTTTAAATTGGATGAATTGGATCATTAGGATAATAGAAGCAACAGCATTGTAATATCAAATTTATGAAATAGAAGATTTTCTATCTCATAATTCTTTTGCCACCACATATTGTTATAACTTTATATCACTCTCTACTGTGAATTTCTTGTTTATTACTGTGTTATTATATGATATTTTAATTTTCAAGCTTTTTTCTGTTTGCAATTTTCCTATTGGATTACATTTAGCCTTATAACACCTGATGGTCAAAATAGATTAAGATAAGATTGTGAGTATTTTTAGGGCTTTAATTATAACACCATTATTTAGAAGATATTTAACATCAACTCGCTTCGGGTCAACACACGTTTATTAACATAAAAATTATTGTTGATATTTGATAGAACAATTTTCAGTAAACCATGTTGTAAAAAAGATAGGAAATAAATTTGTCTTTTAAAGCCTACGTTCAGAGTTAAAATATTTCTTCATCCGGCTAAAGGTTGATCTCATTATACATTCCTCCGTGACATTCCGTTTACGTAAAGTATATTTTGTAAGTATATATAGTATATCTTGTAAATGAATCGGAATATGCATACTTTCTGTTCCGTTGATATAGCGTTTTGTCTTTGTTTATGTAAATGAAACGAAAACGGAATGTAACGGATACGAAACTTATAGTGAGAACCAACCTTTACTCGGTTTATATTCTAAAAATAAATTATCATGTGGTGTTCGGATTAAAGAGATTGCACTTCTAAGTAAGCAATTTCGTCGTAATCGAGTAAAATACGGGGCCCTACGGATGAATCTGCTTTTTCTCTGCACCTCAGTCTCATACCTCAACCACCCCGCCCCAGCCACGTATCGCTTCACTTCGGCCTCCGGTGGTATATGCTTCTGTGGTTGTTTAGAGAGTTTAGCGTGCGGAACACCTTTTGGCACAGCTGACAGACGGCGCTGTTGAGCGGTTGCAGGTGCTGCTGTTCCTTGTGGCGCTTCAGCGTCAGTTTGGTGCTGAGCAGTTTGCCGCAGAGGTCGCACCGGTGGCTGGCGGCGGCGCCCAGTGGCAAGGGGAGAGGTCGTCTGGCTCCTAAGGCTGCGCCCCACCGAGAACATACAACATCCGATTAGGGCCCCGCGTCAATCATTACCGATAAGATATTAGAGTTAAAATGCTAGGGCCACGTCTGGCGGCTATCGTGGCGAAGATTAGTAAAATGAAACGATGAGTGTGACTATTTCTTATTGGCTATCTTCATGAATCTTTAGATTGATGAATAATAATAAAAAAAGATGCTCAGCGCTGTAATGTTTGACATTATTTATGTTCTTTTCTGTTATATTAAAGATAAATATATTCTTCATTTAACGTGACGCATATCAATGCACGCATATCTTGCAAAAAAGCAAGAGCGAAGTAAAAGTGAATTTTGTTATGTAATGAAATACACCCAGATGCAAAAAAACATAACGGAAAAAATTTTAAATTTAAAATGTTATATTTTTTTAATTTTTAGACTAATTTTTATGATTTTTTTTTACCAAACAGTATCTAAATATATAGGCTTTGAATCGTAAACTCTGTGCAATAATTTTGTCAGTAAATTTTCGTAAATATAATTTTTCGGTCAGAACCATGTCTCCTGAACATTTTCTTTTTTGGCTCATCTCAACACATGTCTTGGTTAGTTTAAAGAGGGAAGTGAACCCCAACAGTGCAAATTTTTGCGATTTTTTGAACTATCATTACTTTTTGATGTTCTTTTCAAATATGAGAAGGTGACTTTGATGAATATTGTCGTAATATCATGTTCGCGCTGCGTTAGATACTAATTAATGTATTAATGTACACTATACTAAATTTAAAAAACGTTAAAGAGGATCGATACAGTTTTTGTTTTAATAAACATTAAGGAAAACATAACAGTAATAACTAACACAAACAGAAAAAAAACTTGTAAAAATAACTTAGTACTTTGTATTGCCTCCACTGGATGCTACAACTTCCTGTAGACGTCGCCGTCATCGGTTCGCACTACCAAATGCTGCAAATATCATATTCTGTTACTGAGATTCTTCTTCAAGGACCAAGCGAAGTTCATTTAACGAAGCTAGTACCACTCCTGCCAAACAGGTTCCAAACGTGTTCTATAAAGTTCAGATCTGTCGAATATGCGGGCCAGTTTATAGTAGTGTACAGTTCACAACACTTACCAAATCCTCCTCGTCATATTGAAAAGTAACACCAAAATATAATGATAATTGAAAAATTGCAAATTGTTGGTGGCAAGTTAATTTTTCTCTTAAAAATTAACCAAGGCATGTGTTGATATGAGCCAAAAAACAAAATGTTCAGGAGGCATGGCTCTAACCAAAAAAAACTGTTTTAAGAAAACTTGCTCACAAAATTATTGCACAGGGTGTATCAAAGTTAGGATACAAATCAATCCTTCGAATAACCATATAAAGTTAGCCAAATACTAATGTTTATAACAAACTGAATTTACGAATTGATAAGTAGAGGAAAATGGCTGATTCTGCATTCACCACACGGTTGGTGAATCGGAGGGTGACGCAAAACAGGTAAAAACAGTTAAAAAACGCTAATAAACAAGAATAAACAGCTGTAAATAAGAAACAACCGCTAAAAAACAGAACAAAACCGGTTTAAACAAAAAATAGACATTATTTTGAGCTAAAACGCGGTTTTGTTATATTTTGATAAATTTATATACTGTTTGCTAAAAAATATAAATATAGGGTTATAAATAAAAAAAAATATATAGCACTTTAAATTTGACGGAACATTTTTCAATTGCGTTTTTTTGCATCTGAGTGAATTTTCTTGGATTGGCGTTGCCGTTAATTTTGAAATTGTACCCATCCACATCGAAAAAATATTTTATTACTTATATAAGTTTTTTGCTAATTTTTGCTAAACGTTTGATAAAATCTGACCACCGCACTGGGTTTGTTTAAAATCAAATCCTTAATTTTAATGGTATAATCACCCTAATGCCGCAGTTGTGGCCCTAGCATAAACAAAATATTCTTGATTTATATAATGTTTGATTATGTATGTGTCTAATTCTTCCTTCTAAAATTGACCAAGGTCGAATTTAAGTAAGCTTTAATGCTATTTTAAATTTACTTAACTATTTTTTAGTTTTTCATAATTTGTTGATCTGTGATTTACACTTTATAATAAATAAAATGGTCTCAAAAATCGAAAATCATTAGATATATTCTTTACAAGATAGGTAGGGAACCAAATCATTAGAATTGTTCAGTTCAAATTATGTCTAATCCAATGTAACTTTCTGATATTGCATATAAAAATCATTCTGATAGACCTAAAACATAGTGTTATATTTTCATCAACCTTGGTACACTTTTAAAAGTTTTAACACGGTGTATTAAATACGGGAACACTGTATGTGTACTCTCCCTATTAATGTTATTTTATTTTAAGTTTGTTTATATAACACTTAGATAGTAAATATGTCAATGTGTGAATTAGAAAAAAATAATTTGGATTTTTACAGATTTCAGTTTTATTATAATAGATAGATATTTTATAGTAAGTTCGAATCAGTATTTTTGTTGTAATCTCCTCTTCATAAGAGTAAAAAACGACGATTTTTCGATAATTCTACCAAGCTATTTTAAATAAATATAGTTTATATAAAATTTATAAAATATAGATATATGTATGCATTTTGTACGATTCCTCTAAATATAATATACATTAAAACGTAACAAAAAGTCTAATTTTAGTAGGAATTAAGTTAACTTTGCGCTTAAATTTGATATAGAGCATTCAAAAATTTATTGCTTTCCTATAATATGATGTTCATATTTGTACTTTTGAACGACTCAGTATCACAATGTATAGTGATGTTTAAGTCCTAATAAGCTTTAACATAGAAAATAAGTAAAGGGTAAATAGTTTTAAATATACTGGCTTGCATAGGATCTAAACAACACGTTACACATGAAAACTTTGTTGTGATTAGAGATAGAACGAGTGATGAGGCGGTATTATTTCTTCCCCTTTCAGGTTTTTCACGTTCCTGTGATATATGCTCTTGTGATTTCTTAAGGAATTAAGGCTGCTGTACACTCTCTTGCAAATGTTACAGACCGGTTCTCTGGAAGGCCGCATGTGAACATTTTGAATATGCCTTTTCAATCTGGTCAAGGAGCTCAAGCTTTTGTTGCAAGGCTGACATCGAAAATCCTCCATACCTATGGGCAAGAAGCCCCAATTTAACCTCATTTGTGCCTGTAGTGGAACCCAGCTCATTTTTCTTTTTCTTTGTTTTTTAGCGTATACGATTGAACCGAACGGTTTTTGTATTATGCACAATATTTTTTATACTAGTACTCACAAACAATAATTTTATATTTTGTGTAGTCTGTCTTATTAAATTTAAACTCTGTACAATTTTAAATATAAAAAAATTAATAATTTTGAAGGTAAGTAGGGTTGCAACCAGACTGAATGTACATACGAGTAAAATAATGAATGTTTACATTAATCAAAAATATACGAATCTTTGATGAATTATTAGTATATATGAGCTGACCGTCTTTTTTGACCGTCTAATTGTATATTTATTCCATTTTGAAACAGTTAATTCTATTTATTTATATATTATTACTCCATTTCTAGTATTTTTCGGAGATTATGAATAGAAAACACTTTTTAAGCCTAGTTCACACGATCAAAGTGTACCAAGTGACATGATCAAATAATGCTATGCACGTCTCACAAGTGAGACAAGTGAGACGCGCGCAGCGTTCAGGTGTATTTGGTCCGAGTACAATTTGACTGTGTCAACCAAGTTTTAACACAACTATAAGGGATACCAAATAAATTTATAGCTACGTCATCGAGGGCGCAATTGTTAAATTCATTGTTGCCAACCATGAATATATTCGCAGCTGGACTAACTGGAATTTATTACTGGATTCAGGTGGCAGCTCTGCTGTAAAAAATATCAAGTTCCCGCATTTATTTATTTATTTCCTGATATTGTCATCCGTTTTGACACTTTAGTTTTGTATTACGAGTTTTTTGTTTAAGTGAATTGTGCTCATTACTTTAATTTTAAAATTTCTTACTAGCAGACCTTGCAGTCGAAAATTCTTCTTTTTAGAACCACACTTAGTGTAAGTGTACAAGATGCCGAAGCAACCTTATTAGAATGCAAGTACAGAGACTGGCATGTATCTGCATCACAGGTGCCATGAGAACATGTCCAACAGCAGCAATGGAGGTCATTCTAGACCTAACACCACTGCACATTGTCGTCGGTAGCTATGCCAATGCGATAATGATTAGAATGGCCATTGACGGAAACAGTACTGAGAGAAATTTCAGGTCAGGGGCTTGGAAAACCCTCAAAAAGAAAATTCCACTTCTCCAACTCCCAGTGGATGACATACCAAGAATTTTCAACTTTGAGAAACACCTCACTGTAGTATTGAATAATAAAAAGGATTGGGAAGAAAGAAATGCTAACTCAGCATATAAAAGACCATACCATCATGTGGTATACTGATGCTTCCAAAACCAAAGCAGGGACAGGGATAGGAGTATTTGGGCCGAAAACTAAATACTCCGAAGCAATGGGCACCTACCCCAGTATCCTTCAGGCAGAAATTTGCGCTATCGAAAGATGCGTACAATTTATCTTAGATAGGAACTATCGAAAACAGGAAATTGCCATCCTATCCGATAGTCAAGCAGCACTTAACGCGATCAACTCAGTAACCATCAATTCAAAGTTGGTCAAAGAATGCCTAGATAAGCTCAAGAAAGCCGAGAAAAATCAAAGGTTTTCCTTGATTTAAGTAAAAACAATCTTTGGATTGTCACGAGGTTTCTAACAGGACACTGTCTCCTCAACGAACACCTCAGTAGGCTGAAACTGAGAAACAACGGCGAATGCAGATTTTGTGGGGAAAATGGGGAAACACCAGAACACCTTATCACTGAGTGCGCCGAGACGACGACCATTCGTGCCATGAACTTTGGTACGTCTGATGTCGAGGATGGAGAGCTGGCCTCTGTGGAGCCGTCTCAGATACTGGCTTTTGTTAAAGCCCTGAGACTGTATGATGAGTTATAACTCGTTATAACTCAAGAAAGGGGAACACACAATAGATCTATAAGGTCGCGGTGATTAACTCCCTTCCTAAACATTCTACATTCTACAACCTTATTAGAACATTTTGAACGGAAAAGCGGTAGTAATGGCCCTTAAGTGCTGTTAAGGATGTGAGTTTTGTTGATGTAAATAATAACTGTTTATATTTTTATAATTAATTCATTTTTGTTTCCTGAAATATTTTGATTAAAAGAAAATATATAAAAGTCGGCAACGCTGTGCCGGTCAAGCTTAATCACGTGACTACAGATTTATTTGGTATGATCTATAGTATATAATTTAAGTAATAAGTAGAGAGAAAGAGAAAGTAGTAGTTGCAAAATAAATAGAATATCTTTTTCATACAACAATTTTCGAAAAAAATATTAATTTATTCTTGTATTATGTTATTATTTTATTTATAAAACAGAATAACAATAACAATAAACAATTATTTTAATATATTTTATACTTGTTTTTTATACATATCTCGAAGTGCATTCAGATCTAGTTGTATAGTTTAAAAACTTTATTAATTAAAGCTGAATCGTAACATGATATATTATGTTATATTTATATTTATGATATTAGATGATATATTCATATATTATGATATTAGAAAAAAATAAAAAGAAATAAGTGAAAAAAGTAATAAATTATATATAGCTTACATAATATTATAATACTTCTCATATTTTAAAAGTGAAAAAAAATAAACAAATATATATTTAAGATAATTTTGGCTAACGAGTGATGGGTAATAATATATTTTGGTTTGTGGTACTAGTTGAATATATCCGTTTAAATAATTGCAATTTTAAATAGTGTTGTTTTACAAAATTTACAATTCCAAAGAAGTCTTAAAGAAATGAATGATTTATTAAATATAATAAAAAAAAACGTGAATAATACTAAATAAGGAAATCATCATTTTTACTATTGGCTCCCCCAAAATTTACGTCACATATCAAAAACAAAACGCTAACGCCACACAATACACAACAGCACATAAATATTGCAGAGAAAGAGTTAAAAGTAACACTCATCAAAAACATTCTCAAATAAAAAAGATAAAAGGAGGCAAAAATATACTAATAGAGAAATTTTGGACTAACGCTTTGACATGTTTAATTCAATTATGTATTTTTATTATGATAAACACTGCTTTAGATATATTTTATTATTTTCGTTAAGTGATAAGCAGTGTTAAATCAAAATTCGATATATTTAATACTAAATAATTGAGAATATTGTAGAATACAAGAATAAAATAAGATATATAGGGGTGTGTGTATATTATTTTATTCTTGAAAGTATTAAGAAGAAAAGCAGTCTTACCTTGTGAGGTACCGGCCATTGAGTCGTTTCCTTGGAGGGATTGATTTAAACCTGGAACAAACAGATCTACGTTTATTATTGCAGTTAACTTTACAGTTAACTGCCTTGGTACAATAAAAAATAGAATATTTAGGTTAGCTTTTGAAGGAATGAAAAAAGTGTTTGGTTATATTGTTTGCGTATTTATCAAGTAATAAAAAAAAATCAAATGAAAAAACACAACATTAACAAATAAAGCTAAACCATTAAACAATGTATAAAATCGTGACTTAAATGAGTGCAAATATTTTTAGTGGTGATATATTTCGATCCCAGGAAAACATCTATCAGGTTTTTTCGCGAAACATTTTATTGAAAATGTTGTATTTTTCCAAATCTTTTTTTATTCTGTTTTAAATTTTCAGTTAAACATCAATATAATATCTTGATAATATGCTGTGCAGTTATACTAAAATTAGAGGAATGAAAGAACAGAAAAAATCCAGTGGTTCTCAAAATGTTAGCCAAAATTCATTTTTTGTCAAATTTTCAAAATGAAATACATGGGCTATTTTGCACTTATTTGAAAAACGTCAAAGAAAAAATATTTCTTTTATCGAGATCAGCACTGAAAATATTTGCACTTACTTAAGACTAACTCTGTATTTCTTTTATGTCTTTAAGAATCATCTAGTTTATTATCTTTTACATACAAAATGGTCTTGATCTTTAAAAAACGAAAGAAAAAGTTTAAACAATAGTTAAAGAATAGAACAATTTAAAATGTAACATTAAAAATAAAAAGACTAAGAGAAGACTAAAAGAAAACAATTCAGAAATGAATTGTATATCAAGAAAACTGAAATATGACAAGAGCAGAATGACCCAAAGACATAAAAGAAATACAGGATGAGTCTTAAGTGAGTGCAAATATTTTAAGGGCTGGTAGATCTCGATAAAAGAAAAATATTTTTTCTTTGGCGTTTTTCAAATACATTCTCCTTGTAATATTTCAGTTTTCTTGATATACAATTCAATTCTAAATTGTTTTCTTTTAGTCTTCTCTTAGTCTTTTTATTTTTAATGTTATATTTTAAATTGTTCTATTCTTTAACTGTTGCTTAAACTTTTTCTTTAATTTTTTAAAGAACAAGATCATTTTGTATTTAAAAGATATTAAACTAGATGATTCTTTACGAGTGTTGCATCATAAAGAAAACCATGGACAGGACAACAAAGGCATCAGATATTTCAGCTGAAATGTGCGCGTAGGTCGTATGTCGTTGAGTTCGTTGCCATAAATCTATTTTTATCTTAATTTAATCTCAATATAGCTCACTCATATGCGCTCCGAAGAGCCGATACTCTTATGTACAAGTACTACCGCTCAATATATTTATTTTAATTATATTTATGTCAAGGTTATTCTTATCATAGTAGGTTGCAAATCTCGAAAGATTTGATACAAAAAAAATGAAAACTAAAGACGAGAAAACCAACAATGGCAACAAAACAAAAAAAGCAAGCAGGCAATAAAACCATAAAAACAAAGAAAAGTAAATATAAAAAGAAAAAACAAAATATTAATAATAACAAACAAGAACAGACAAAAAAACATGAAAATTTAAAAGTAAAACTAATGATACCAAATAAAAACTGAAACAAATAGAGATAAAAATGAAAAAAAAATAGAAAAATGAAAAAAAAAGAAAAAAGATAAACCAGAGTCAATAAAAAGCAAAATAAAAAAAACAAAACAAAAAGCACACTAACCGAACTTACTTCCTAGGGCAGCTGGGTCGGCTGCCAGCGCCGCCATGCTGAAATTGAAGCCGCCGGCCGCCGTGGCGAACAACTTGCTCTCCGATGACGTCAGGTAGGGCCCTATAGGACTGTCGTGGTCTTCGTGGTCTCCCCCTGAACTGCCCCCTGAGTGGGGCCCGTGAGGCAGGTTGTTAGGCCCGTTCTCGTGGGTGGTGGGCTCGCCCGAGTCGTTACTGAAAAAACGAAAGCTACTATTTAGTTATAAGGCTGGACTTTGATCTAATTGCTCGGCAATGTAATGTCAGTCAATAAGAGATAGACACTGAGAAAAATATTAGGTTGCTGTACTAGTGTATAAAAAAAGCTAGTTTCCGTTTGTATTCTACGCAATGTTATTTCACAAAATATTTTTTTGATTTCTCTACTTTCAGTGGCAAAATACCCAGGCAACATTACCTGTTGGCATCATTATTACCTGTTGTCATCAGGTTGATTTGTACTACAAAGCAATTCCATTGGTTCGTTTTTGACGTTGTTCTCGTTACTGTCACTGTGGCATCTTGAGTGTTGTAGAGTAGGGGAGGGTGAGCACGGTGAGTTTTCTCTATCCGTACTGCTTATACCGTTACCTGGAAATTATTAATCGAATTAAATGCCATTAATTGTAACAGAATTAAAACTATGCAGCTAATATGGTTTTGTTTTACAAAATATAAAAATATTTATACTTTGGTTGATATAGTTTTCAAAATTTTCTTCTATTATTAAATGATAATGAAAGTAAGAAAGTTGTATCGAGTAACTACTTTATTAAAACGGGCCACACATACAATTTATCGTACTGCAGGTTGTACAACACAAATTTGATTCGACCGTTTGAACGACAGATCGGATGCACTGTTGTCCACGAACTTAAACTACTAGTTTAAAGTCAGTCGTACAATAAATCGTTTCCCAGTTGATTTTGTCGTGTTCGCCGTGGCTTTGTGTTCGTCAAAAAGGACAATAGCTGCAAGTGTGGTAGTTTTTTTGTCGAAGATGAAAAACCCTCCCAAAAATTGTAATCAAATATTTCAAAGTAGCATCTGCTTTTATTTCTTTTAATTTTTCCAATAGATTCTCATAACATGCACTTCTTTAATTTTTGTTTAAGTATTCGTAATTTTTTACATCCCACACACCCATGCATGGAAACGATATATTTCTATAAATTCTGACCAAAACTTTTTATTTTCAATTTTTATGAACTGTATTGTACTGAATTTGCCACGAAAAATGTTTAGATTTCGTTTCAACAAGAAGTGCTTGCACACAAACTATCAAATCTATCGTATCTACTACTGCGTTGTACTACAGATTTTATGCATGCTGTACTTCCGTACCATACGACAGAGTCGAGCTGCAAGTTCTACTACAATACCACTAAAACGGCCTACACACGTAACGATTTGCAGTACGATATCCATCGAAACTGCCGCATTAACGGTAAATCGTAGCATGTGTAGGGAAATTGGATGGTTTGCAGTATGCAGTCGTCAAATCGTTTTCAGTACGGAGCTTCCGTAAAATATCCTATCAACGGGTCGTGTCTGGGGTGGGGTTTGAACGCAAGTGTGAAGGTGTGGAGTGTATTCCCTGCCGCAGAGCGCAGTTACGATATAATTTTTATTTATTTTTGGTTTAATCAATATTATGGATTTAAAAAATAAGACGTTCTGAGAAGACTTTATTGATTTATATAGAGAAAATATAGATGCCTATGGGATGTGAAATCAAAAGATTATGCAACTAAAATGAAAAGAAATTCCAGTTATGACATTTTTTTTATTTTTTAATTTTTTTAATATTTCTTTCTCTCCAGCAACCACTTTTTACACCATTTTCGCTTTTTGATTTCTTTTTGTTCATCATCTCCATCTATCAGCAATACCGCAGCTACAAGCACGGCAGCTTTCTTCTTTGAAATTCTTGACATAACGGTAGCCTTTCTCGACGAAAAGTGAATAATCTGAACTGCGGCAGTACAATCTGTTGCATCGTGTGTACAAAAAATGGCTATACTGTAAGCCGTACGATTTTCTTTACGATCTGCAGTTCAACGCGCAGTACGATAAATCGTTACGTGTGTAGGCCGTTTAACTATCCAAGCATTGATCCAACGGTCGAAACGATTTGGTGTTGTACAACGTGTAGTACGATAAATCGTATAATGTCTGGCCCGTTTAAGAAACTAAAAACTGCTCTGTAATAAAAATTATAAAATGTAATAGCAAAGAATATTAACTAAAGACAATAAACTATGGTTAGAGTTTATCTGAAAACTTTGAAAGGAACTTTAAACTAAAACCATCTCTGCTAGAGTGTCTAAGCCCAACAGCCAACAGACAATAATAACATGATTTTTCAATGACAGTGACATTACAACACTATTTCATAGGTTTGTTGATTGGGACCAAAAGCCATGGTTTTAATGTAAAAATTAGGAAAAAAATTAGTGTCTTCTTCAAAAGCAAATATCGCAAATTGATTGTATATATTGTAATCGCAAAACATTTTCCGATGCACGTCATCAATCATATCGACATTGACACTAAAGTCTGTAAACCTGACTAAATTAAATTTTGGCAAAAATGTTTAAATTTGTTGTATTATTTAAGATACCAAGCAGCTCTTCATTTGACTTTATAGAGCAAATGATTGTAACAGATATTTTATTTAGACTAAAGCTGCAAAAATTAGTTTAAACCGAATTTTATTATCGCTATGTTGGTCACATTGCGCCGTTTTCAGCAAGGTTGTCGTTTATTATTTGACAATTATCCTAATGTCAGTCATTATTCGTAGTATAATATCGTGTTGTTGTTGAATCTCTGTGAGTAATTCTCGTTCTTTTGCCTATTTTTATAGTCTTTTTTTTTAATTTTACTTTAAAAGCACAAACAGTTCTTTTAAGAACTAAAATTTCGAGTTTTTGTATTGCATTTCTTGAAATTAGGTGTTAAAAATATGCCGAAGCATTTAAACAGTCGATGGAAAGAGCTTGTAGCTTCACTAATAAACTATTTTGAATGAGAACGTGACAATAAAGGTCCTTTATTATTACCCTTGGCTGCAGTCAGAGAAGTAAGTTTGATAAGCACATTACATCACTTTCAAGTTATTTCTACGTTAATTTTTATCAAATTCTGTGATTATTAGTTTGTGCATTAATAGCGCCCTCTTGGCTTGTTATTACCATTTATGGCGTTGTAATATGTACATCAATAAATAAATAAATAACCCATAATAACGTTTAGAATAATCTTCATAATGGTCTAGTTTTTGCCAAAATGTAATAAGTAAAATAAGCTATAAAATAAATAAATCAATTAATTACTAAAATATTAGTTATTAAATTAAAAATAAAACTTAAAAATCTTTAAAAAATGATATAATAAATATATTGTTTGTCACTTTTAAAATTAAAATTCATCTCATAAATCCATCACAATTTGACAGCGCTGTCGTCATCGCTTGTTACTCAAACACTCGTTGACGCGTGCATCGGAAATTGTTTTGCGATTACCATAGCTTGGTAGATACTAGATACACAGTGAACAATCTAAGAATAAATATATATAAAAAGTTTGAATTACCTTCAATAATGTCCGATTTAATGCCGGAATTTACGTTTAGGTTGAGAGCGTTGTTCTTCATTGCGCTGGGTGAGAAGTCTGCCGGCTGAGTCTGTGGCGGATTGTGTGATAAATTCAATTCGTTATTGTTATTATTACCTATGATATGTTCTGATCTGGCTCGCTTGTGTTCGCTTTCTGGATCAGCCGATATTCGCCTACTATAATAAAAGACATTCGCCATTAACATTTTTCATCTATTATACAGGGTGAATCTTAAATAAATGCAAATATTTTCATGGCTGGTAGATCTCGATAAAAGAAAAATATTTTCTCTTTACCATTTTCCAAATAAGTGGAAAATAACCAATTTATTTTACTTTAAATTTGCAACAAAAATTAAAACGAAAATTTACAACAAAAATGCTTTTTTGCTTAAATTTTGAGAACCACTGGATCTTTTCTGGATTTTCTTTTTTGTAAATTTAATTTACTACCTATGCTGCCATATTATCAAGAAATTATTGTTTTTAACGAAAAACTAAAAACAATTTCAAAAAAAAAATTCAAAAAATTTGAAATTTGCAAAATTTTTTATTCGCGAAAAAAACCTCATGGACGTATTTCTGGGGTCGAAATATACTACACCTAAAAATATTTGCTAAAAAAGTAGATATCAGGTGTTCTATTTTGCATGGTATATATCGTATGATGGAAAAAAACGGCGCCCAGTTGGCTGGGAAATGACAATCGATGACGTTTCCCATATAAATTTATATACCGGGTGCGTCTCAAAAGTGGCTCACCCCTATAACTTTTTTATTTTTGCAGATAAAACAACGAGATTTGGTATGTTAGTATACGACATAAATTGGGAATGATTGACATATTCAATTATTTTTAGCCACTTCCGGTTTCACCGGAAATTACTACAACTTTTGATTTTTACATGGCACCCTCGGTGTTTTTTTACTTTATTCGATAGAAAATTTCATTCTGAATAGAATCACATATCATATGTCAACTTTTGACATTTTCGCATATGGTTTATTTGAAATTGTAACATGCGGTTCATAACGACAATTTGACTCGAAATACCAAGTGTGTGGTATAGTCTATAAAATGAATAACTTTGAATTTTGACCGTTATTTTTTACCAATATGGCAAATATAAAATCCCTCTGTCAAAAAAGTTACTGATATTCTTTAAAATGAGTGCCTGAACGAATCAGATAGGTAACTCTTTTTACTTTCGTGAAATAGACAAGGAAAATAATAAAACAAGTCACAGTCTTCTTGCAAAAATCACCACAAAATGTCATAATTGTCAAAAGTAAAATGTCATCAGCTTTTGGCATTTCTAAATATCAGACCAATGCAGTCTCTAATAGACCAGCCTCGGTCAAACGAGATTTATGACGTCACGCTAGTTAGATACTACGGATCAATAAATATGTTGTAGAATACATGGAAAACATAATTATTCCTCGTATTTTTGGTTTGTATTTTAAAAATGATACAGTTTACATGAAATATACATAATATACAGTTAATAAATACAATATATATACCTATTTATAGTAATAAATACTTTGGCAAATAAAACTATGAACCATAAAAATGCAGCATATGTTTTACAATATACAAATAATGAATAGGTACATAAGATAATGGGTAAAATGTAAAATATATTTTAAATTTTGGGGTTTGAAAATCGATCTAATTTAACAAAAAACATTCAATATCTACTAATAGTGATGTATTATTATTTGCATTCACAAAACTTATATGTATATTTCATGTAAACTATATCATTTTTAAAATACAAATCCAAAAATACGAGGAATAATTATGTTTTCCATGTATTCTACAACATATTTATTGATCCGTAGTATCTAACTAGCGTAACATCATAAATCTCGCTCCGGGGCTGTTCTATTAGAGACGGCATTGCGTCAGCATGGCCGCAAGTTGCTAACCTAATAAAATTAACACTAGAAAAGCCCGCGGGAACTGTCAAATTCAAAGTTATTCGCTTCACAGACTATACCAAATTATTCGTAAAAAAATGCTTTTTCTAAATATGCTAATGAGCCACCCTCGTTCCATTTGAAAAAATTGAGATAAAAATAATGATTAAAAATACGATTTGGGCATCTTTTACCCGACCAGGAAAAGAAACTAAACACATTAGGCGATCAAATCTATTTTTCCAAGGCTCCTTGATTAAAAATTTGTTTTTTTAACACAGCCATGACACTCTAGATTGAAATTTATTTTTGAGCGAATATGTCAAAAGTTGACATATGTTGTCATTCGATTGAGAGTGTCATTTTCTATGGAATAAAGTAAAAAAATACCGAAGGCGCCATTTAAAAATCAAAAGTTGTAGTCATTTCAGGTGAAACAGGAAGTGACCGAAGACAATAATTGAATACGTCAATCAATCCTAATTTTTCTCATATGCTAACATACCAAATCTCCTTTTTTTATCTGAAAAAATAAAAAAGTTATAGGGGATGAGCCACTTTTGAGACGCACCCGGTATAAAATAACAACGATCTTCATTTGATAGTCATTGCTGACGCCGTTTTTTTTTCGATCACTCGGTACAATACACATGATGAATGAAAATGAGATAAGGTATTTTACTGGAGTATTTAATCAACTTTATATTTTGATAAAATAATTTGAAAACTCGTTGATTATTCAATAATCTTCTGTTGTCCGTCGTACTATGACCAATTTGCAGAAAATTTATAAAGTAAAATAATTTCAGATATTTATGGACTTATTTTAAAAACGGTATAGAGAAAATATGTTTCTTTTAATGTGTACTTATTCAAGACACCCTGGTATAACAAATATTTATTTAATTTAAAAATGTGAAGAATGTGTACCTATCTCTTCTGTACTGCATTGCTGCCCTTCTTAAAAGCTGATTGACAGTGGCTCCGTGTGGAGGTGATGACGGTGAAGAAAACAGTGCGTCTTCTACCAGCCTGTCTGTGTAGTTTCCGTGGTGGTTTTGCACGGGAGGTGTAGGTGGTTGGGGTTGTTGTTGATGTTGTGATTGAGATCGAATCAGACTTTGAACTTGAGCCAACTGTAAGAAAATATAAAAAGGATGAAAACTTTAAAAAATGTCAAATACAAGAAATGTGCATTTTCATTAACATTTTAATTTAAGCTATTATCTGACAGGCAGATCTGAAGCAACAAAAGGAATTTGGACTAATAAGGTCCAAGAATAATAATAAATGATTTATCCTAGTCCAACATGCACTGCAGTAATAAATAAATGGTGTCTATATAAGATTTAATATGTTCTTCAAAATAAAAGTAAGTCTCTTAAGTCTATTACGCGTACTGTTCGGGTCTCTCTCAGGGATCGGGTAAAGCGGGTGTGTGGCCGAAGGAAATATATATTATATTTCAGAAATCTGCCTAACCTAACCGATCCTGTCGTGTTAGGCCACACCCAAAATTCCAAACACACGTGCTTTGATTAAGGCTTGATTAAGGTTTGCAGCATAGCATACAATCTTGAAGTTCTCAATATAGGGAACACCCCCACGTTTGTGACAAAAACGCGAGCGGAAGTATTAGATTTAACAATCGGGAGTGCTAGTGTAACTAGTTACGTGAAAGATTGGAGGGTCTCAACGGAACCTTCCCTATCAGATTACAAAATCATCGAGTTCAAATTAGGAGGAATCATACTCCAAACTGAAATTCGAAGGGGAATCCAAGAAAAACCGATTGGGAACTATACCACACCAATCTCGTAGACAACCTGGACCAAATAGATGCAGGTAGGGCTAGGAACCACCTGTATCTAGAATGGTACGCAAAGGAAGTCAGTGGTGCAATATCGGATGCATATGAATCTAGTTGCCCCACAAGTAAGGGCATACAAAAAAGTAACAACAAGCCCTGGTGGAACAAAAAGCTGGCCAATCTTAGATCGGAGGTCCGACGACTCTTCAACAGAGCCAAACCCAGCGGCGAATGGCAGCTCTACGCCGAGAAATTAACTGAGTATAATAAGGAGATTAGAAGGGCAAAGCGGTATGACTTCAGATACTTTTGTGAAAACATCACTTCAACTACTTATGCAGCTAGGCTACACAAAGCTATGGCCAAGAGTGGGCCCATCCCCAACATGGCACTTAAGAAACCTGACGGAAGTTACACGGAAGGAGATGAAGAGAGAGCTAACCTCCTACTTCATACACACTTTCCAGGTAGCATATCTATTGATACGCAAGTAGCTCCGACTGAACTCCACAATCCTCGCAGGGAAGACTGGGAGACGGCCAAGCTAGTAATAACAGAACAAAAACTGAAATGGGCTATTGACACCTTTCAGCCTTATAAAACAGCAGGAATAGATGGGATTTTTCCTGCCCTTCTAAAGAAGGGTCAGGAAATAGCTACACTCTATCTATTAAACATTACAAGAAGCAGCTTAGCGATGGGATATATACCAACCATCTGGAGAAGTGCGAAAGTCATCTTCATACCCAAAATAGGCAAAACTGACTAGGCTAACCCCAAATCATTTAGGTACGATAATTCGCTGGTTTTGGGAAATGCTCTCAACGCGAACAGCAGAGGCTGAGATAGGTACCAAAACTGCAGTTGTTAAAACAACGCAAGGAACTCCACAAGGTGGAGTGACCTCCCCCCTACTGTAGGTAGTGGATGAACTACTGGAAGAATTAACTCTAGCGGGAATACACTGCATAGGGTATGCAGATGACATAGTCATCATTGCACGGGGGAAACATGAAGGCACCCTGTGATATTATCCAAAGAGGACTCCGCATCGCTGAGAGATGGTGCAGGACTGTCGGGCTGAGTATTAACTCAGATAAAACCGCAGTAGTTCCATTCAATAACCCTGGATAGTAAACTTCTCTGGAACAGGCATATTAAGAACTTTACCAGCAAAGCCACAAAGGCTCTCATGATATGCAGAAGACTGGCGGGAAATAGGTGGGGCTGCGCCCCTAACATTTTGCGCTGGATGTATACCATGATAGTAAGACCTATGATTACTTATGGAGCAGTTGCTTGGTATACAAAACTAGAGCAACGTACAACAAGGCGAAACCTGTGCAAAGTACAGAGACTGGCATGTATCTGCATCACAGATGCCATGAGAACATGTCAAACAGCAGCAATGGAGGTCATTCTAGACCTAACACCACTGTACATTGTCTAGAAATGTGCTACAATACGGATACAGTATAATCTCTAATTTCCTTCTTCATTTGTGTAAAAATATCTAGCCAGTTTTACATAAAACGTTAAATGCCGAACGTTTATTTTGCTACTTTTTTGGACTAGTGAAATGGACTCTAAGTAAAATAACATAGTAGCTATAATAAAATAAGTATAAAATTATAAATCTATAAATTCAAAATTTGATATCGTGAATGACCCGTCATAGTTATAAAGGAGTGTTTTATATGTTTAAGATAAAAAATATCTTTAGTTATTTGATGTTTTTGTTTTTCGAAATTCCAATAATAGATTTTTCTTAATCTCAGTGTCATTATAAAAGAAAAATATCAATTTTAATGTTTTAATTAACAGTTGGTATTCTGTTATAATAGATAAAATTATTATATACAAGTAGATATAGCTTAAAAATAATTTTTTTACCTCTCAAACTATTTTCTTATTTGATTATGTGCTGTTAGAAATTCCTAGTTATTATACATATACCGTGTAAGAAAAAAAGGCATAAAGATGGCTTGGAAATGGCGATATTCTTCCCTAACTCGTTTTAAACAGACGAATAGACCTTTTTACCTTAAAGGGGAAATTAAAGGCAAAAAGTGTTAAGTGTAATCCTTTGCCTTTAATTCAATAGTTAATTAATTATAATACAACAATCAATTTAATAGAACATTAATCTTTGAGTATTTCATTAGTTATTATACCAGGTGCGTCTCAAAAGTGGCTCACCCTATAACTTTTTTATTTTTTCGTTTAAAAAAACGAGATTTGGTATGTTAGTATACGACATAAATTAGGATTGATTGACCTATTCAATTGATTTCGGTCTCTTCCTGTTTCACCGGAAATAACTACAACTTTTGATTTTCAAATGCCGGTATTTTTTTTACTTTATTCGATAGAAAATAACAGCCTGAATATAATGACATATCATATGTCAACTTTTGACATTTTTCATTTTTGCATAGTTTATTTGAAATTATAACTTGCGGTTCGTAACGAAAATTTGACTCGAAATACCAAGTCTATGGTATGAAATTATTCGTAATAAAATGATTTTTCCAAATATGCTAATGAGCCACCCTCGTTCCATTTGAAAAAATTGAGATATGATTAAAAATATGGTTTGGGAATTTATTAACCGGCCAGGACAAGACACTAAAAACACCTAGACGATCAAATCTGTTTTTCCAAGGCTCCTTGATTAAGAATTAGTGTTTTTAACATAGCCATGGCACTTTAGATTGAAATTTAAAATAGGATTTTTTATTAAGCGAGAATGTCAAAAGTTGACATATAATATGTCATTCTATTCAGAATATCATTTTCTATCGAATAAAATAAAAAAATACCGAGGGTGCCATTTACAAATCAGAAGTTGTAGTCATTTCTGGTGAAACAAGAAGTGACCAAAAACAATTGAATACGTCAATCAATCCTAATTTATGTCATATACTAACACACCAAATCTCGTTTTTTTATCTGAAAAAATAAAAAAGTTATAGAGGGTGAGCCACTTTTCAGACGCACTCGGTATACACACTTTTGTCTTGGCATTATTAAATGCTTAAATACTGCAATTAATTATTGCACGTTATATACTGATACTTCTAAACCAATTTACCTGTTGCATATAGAATTTTCATGAGATAAAATCTGTCCAACGAGTCAGGCAAAATTTCGATAGAAAATATGACGACGTTCAAAAAATGATAGGAAATAAAATTTACTAGTAATTAATTTACTAATAACTGTCACTGTAATGAGTCCTCGTATATTAATAAATCGCACGCAATCATAACAACAGTAAGACAAAGGAATTCACAAAATTCACATCCGCAAGTGGCATCGAAAATCAAAAAAAAATCCAGGCATATGCGGGTACATTTGGATAATATTGGTTTAGTCGACATGTGACATGGTAACAATTAAAATATTCAACAAATTTAAGTTGCTTTTGTTAGATCTCCCAGATATTTTTTTCAAATTCCACCCGGACATACTACCCGGAAAAATACGAACCGTATGCCAACCCTGTTATAGTAATATACTGACCTGCTCACGACCGTCGCCATGCTGCTGTGTGAGACCGCTAACTCTTAAAACCTCCGCCGTTTTGAGGAAAGAGGAGAGAGATCGTTGATGTACATTGACTTCGCCGTGATAGATGAACTCCACCAGGGCGTGTAAGTCCGTCCACGCTACATCTTGCAGGACTATCACAGGGTGTTTACAGGGAGTAGACTGCAGCAAAGAGAAAAAACAAAATTACTATTAATTTATATACCTGCTATACAGTTCAGTTTTTATATTTTGTGGTAGTAGCACATACTATAATTTCTGGTAGCACAGAATTTTGCATTTTGCTCTGTCTCAAAAAATAAAGAGGTGGGAAAGGTTAAATTTGCTTTTATAAACAGTTGGCGATCATCATAGCGATCCGGACTTCGCAGCAATCCGGAAGAGTTCTGAAGATGTTTTGTTGAATCAGGTCCTGAGATTCATCAGTCACCATATCCGGAAGCTGCCGTAATCAAAATTTTGATTACCCTCTTCGTTTCTGAGCTACAGGGTCTTTTTGAAAATTTTACAATTTGAACCGCCCCCCCCCCCTCCTGTGTCTCTATTATTGTTAAAGATATCGAGAACGTGAAAACTGTTTATTGTATAACTTTTTACGTAGAATACAGTGGCGTAGTCTGTTATTTTATGAAAAACATATTTTTAATATAGATATGGATTTATTATGCAAATTATGTTTTCATAAATTGAACACCCTGTATATTTATAAATTATATGATCTGACTTGCCCATAAGCTTCTGAAAAATATATAGCACCGTATATTTATTTTACTATATACTGCAATATTTAAAAGTTTTTATTAAAAGTTCATATTTATTAGTAGGCCATGATTGGTAATCAAAGAAACTAAACAATTATTAAAAGTATACTGCTATCTGTCTCTTGTTTTATTTTGGGAGCCAGATTACGCCACTGTATTCTATGTAAAAAGTATTACAAGAATCAGTTTTCACCTTCTCGATATCATTCACAATAAAGGAGATACGGGGACTGTCTCAAATTACAAAATTTTCAAAAAGACCCTGTAGTTCAGAAATGAAGAGGGCTATGAAAATTTTGATTACAGCATCTTCCGCTTGACAAAAAGTGGAACAGGCTTGTGCAAACCGCATCCTCCTATCTTTACTAATAACGGAGATACCGTATGATTTCAACCAAAATGGGACACCCTGTACATTTTCTTGGCAGTCGTTAGCATCAGTCGACTATTATAAAGCAGACATAGGCAGTCTCCTTAGCTGTCATTGGCAATCGCTTGGCAATAAAATAATATTTTGGCAGTACATATACCGGGTGCGTCTCAAAAGTGGCTCAACCCCATAACTTTTTTATTTTTTTCAGATAAAAAAACGATATTTGGTATGTTAGTATATGACATAAATTAGGATTGTTTGACGTATTCAATTGTATTTTGTCACTTCCTGTTTCACCGGAAATGACTACATCCTTTGATTTTTAAATGGCACCCTCGGTATTTTTTTACTTTATTCGATAGAAAATGACATTCTAAATAGAATGACATATCATATGTCAACTTTTGATATTTTTGCTTAAAACAAAATGAATGAATTTTAAATTTCAATCTAGAGTGCCATGGCTGTGTTAAAAACACTCATTTTTAATCAAAGGGCCTTGGAAAAATATATTTGGTAGTCTAATATATTATATTAAGATATTCGTGTCTTGTCATCGCCGGTTAAAAGATGCCCAGATCGTATCGTGTATTTTTAATTATTCGTATTTTTAATTATATCTAAATTTTTTCAAATGGAACGAGGGTGGCTCATTAGCATATTTGGAAAAAGCATTTTTTGCGAATAATTTGGTACTACACACTTTTTATTTCGAGTCAAATTGTCGTTATGAATCGCATGTTGTAATTTCAAATAAACCATATGAGAAAAAGTCAAAAATTGACATATGATATGTCATTCTATTCAGAGTGTTATTTTCTATCGAATAAAGCAACAAAACACCGAGGGTACCTTTTAAAAATCAAAAGTTTTAGTCATTTCCGGTGAAACAGGAAGTGACAGAAAACAGCTGAATACGTCAATCAATCCTAATTTATGTCATATATTAATATACCAAATCTCGTTTTTTATCTGAAAAAATAAAAAAGTTATAGGGGTGAGCCACTTTTGAGACGCACCCGGTATATATGTCCTCAAAACCTCGACATTTTTCATTTTTGCAGTCCGTATTTTCATGGTTCTCCTGTATATCCACATCTCAAAAGTGGTGATTTTCTTGGTTCTCTTTTCTAAGTATAACTCTAGTTAACGGAAATTAACAAAATGTTTAAAAGTATTTTTTAATAAATTTTTATTATTAAATTTATTATTATTTATTTTAAAAAATTTTTTTTTTCGTAATTGTTTATCATCATAAAACAATTCATACGCGTCTGCATAAAAAATAAACGCCAGACTATGTAAGGATTGGTAAGGGCCATCTTTTTCTAAAATAATTTGTTCTATAGAATCTAAATAAGTTCTAAACCAAACCAAACTAAATCAAGCCATGGAATGGGTCAGAGTTTTTATTCTATTAATAATCTCTCAATTGCCATTTTTTAATTTACCTGTAATTATTTATGTATATTTAAACCTTTCTGCCTAGTTGTTATCTCTACAACCAAATAATTATTACATTTTAAGTTGAAATCATAATTTCCAAAAAAAAAAAAAAATAGTTGAGTATTTAATATTAAAATACTTCCACAATTTTATTTTGAAGCTCGAACTAAAACAATACACTATACAAGCTGACTAGACGCCACTGATATCTAGTTTTATCTAATGTTTTAATGAACTTAGCAGAATAGTTAATCAGGTTTGGATTGGTACGTTAATAATAGATTCATTTATCTATTTTACAAGCGCGAAATTTAATGATGACTCGACAATTTATCCGTCTTGAGATAATCGTCTAACGGAAATATAGAGTAATAGCAAAGTAATAGTTTTGTTTGCGATAAGGTCAGTTTTATATGTAACAGTATAACTAGTAGCTGACATTTGATAGCGTATGACATTTTTGGTATAAAGCTCCATTCAGAACCTCGCAATTAGTGGAATAAATTAGTGGTTTGAATTAGCGTAGAAATTAGTTTCTTTAATTTCAATGTAAGCATTCACAACGTCAAAATTTGTGGTAGACATTTTCAATTAGTAGAAAAAGAATAAACTTTTCCACTAATTACACTTATAAATTTACGAGGAATGTCATTTTTGCCTTTGATTATCATCCGTCAAGAAAAATTATGGTTAGAAATCAAAATTTGATTGTTTTATAAGCTAAATGTTAGCCTTTCTTTATGGATACAAGGGACTACCGCAAGCTGTTCCTAGTGTGAATTATTGTGAATAATCGTAATCGCCTGTCATTTTAATTCACAGAGAAATTTATTTTTCTGTTTAAATCTTCCCTAACTTGTTGAACTATACACATGCTTAAATATTTTTAAGAAGCCGTGACAAAATCTAACAACGATCGAATATGTCGTTAAGTTTTTGTTTAACATGTAAATTAATGTGACTATTATCAACAACAATATAATATTATATAGGATTATGAAACGGCATTATAACAATGGAACAAATGTGGTTTTATTACTAGAAATCCATTTTATATAATTAAATTTAAGCTATAAAATATTTTGATTGATATTGTGTTTTGTTCACTATTCAAAAATTATTATTTGATAGAATTGAAAACTGGACTAAAAACAATATATAACGGGTAATAGATTTTTTTATATCTTCATGAAATAGCTTTTAATAAAATGAAAATATGTATTTTATTATTTAATGGCAAATATTATCCGTTGGTAAAAATTAAACATAAAACTTATTTGAATAATTATCCCAAAAAAGAATATATATATTATGTACCTATTATAAAATTCTCAAACATTATTTTCTTCATAAAAAATCCTTACAAAACACCGTGTCACAGAGAAGACAAATATTGTTGCTATGCATTACTATAGTCACTTCATAACTAAACATCTATGATATTCTAGTCTTTTCACTTTTGTAATTTCGTTAATCCAAATCAGAGTTATACTAAATTTTAATAATATAATAAATGCACTTTGTCAAAAAAATACAAATTTTCCAGTGTTTACAAAAACAATATTTTCTGAAGCGCGACATTTTTTCAAATTGAAAATAATTTTCAGCGATCTGTTTTGGCCAATGTATTTATTAGTATTGTTTCCTTATAATTAAACGACAACTAGTTTCTGATATACAGCTGACGTCCATTCTTTGTTGGTAACCGATATAATTAATTCGTACATTAGCAAAAGACAAAACTGCATACATATTTTAAAATTTTCACTTGTCCTTTTCTTTTCAACTGATGTGTACTAAATTTGACGGCTGTTAGATTTTCAATAATAATTAATATTTTACTTAAAACTACTCTTTAATAAAACAATTCAGTTCTTTGTAAAAAACTATATATATTTAAATTTTGTAATAATATTTAAAATAATAATAGTTTAATGTTTATTTTAGTAGCGATATTCCCTGAAGACTAAACCACAATTCTTTTTGTTCTACTATACTTCATATAGGTCGACAAATGTTATTTATAAATTACTTCTCACAATTATCTCCAACCAAAGTAGCAAATTTTCCCTATTGGTGACACATAATTTATCTAAAATAGCAAATCTCTATTTATTTATATTATATACAGGGTGGTCCGAACTGTATTCCGGAAACTTCGGCAGCATATTCTGCAGATAAAAATAAGTAAAAAAGTTTGTATAAAAATATGCCCTAAAATGCTTAGTTTCGGAGATGCAGGGTGTAGAAATTTCATTTTTATTTCGATTTTTTCCAAATAATTTCTGAAGTAACGTCAATATTTGGATGAAAATTGGTGTCTGGGAGATTTCTGGTGCGAGAAGTTTGATTTTGATGTCAATATGATTACTATTTTTAGGGAGCGAAACTGTATCTCCGAAACTAAGCAGTTTAGGACATACATTTATACGAACCCTTTTTTATGAACATCAATGGTATAAATTATAGGTTTTTAATAAAGTCAGAAAATTAGATTCTTCTAATTAGCTGTATTATTAAAATATAATATTTATGAAATATCAAAACGTCAAGCGTTATGGTTAAAAAATAAACGAAATATTTTTAAATTGTTTTCTTGTCTACTAGCCTTTCGATAACAGGTTTATCACGTTTTGTGGTTTTCGCTAAATTTGCAAATTTTTTAATACTGTCTAAGAAGAATAAATTACTGTACCATAAGTTATATACGGTTATTATTAAAATACTTCGTCTGTATATTAGGTATATTAGGTATGTGGATATTTTAAATTCGGTGTAGAGTTAAGCTTTATTCAGAATCTCGAAATTAATGATTTTACAATTATTGGGCATGTTTACTTTATACTTAAGAATTTGCGATCATGCACAATGTTTAAAAAACAATTAAAATTATTAGAGCATTCTAGGGACAGCTTGCGGTAGTCCACCACTAATTTTGACGTTCTGAAAGTTTACATTGAAATTAGAGAAACAAACTTCTACGCTAAAAAATCAAAATCACTAATTTACTCACAATAACTTTGAGGTTCTCAATGAAGCTTTAGCCTTTGTTTAATAAATCTAATTTTTATATTGTAATTTTTTTTGTTAGTCCAGTTGTTGATGGCGTTTTCCAAAATTACTGGTCAAGTAACTAGCAAATATTGACCCGAGGTCATTTAGAATGAATAATATATTATTATTATTGAGTAATCTGCTTTAAATTTAGTTTTACAGTGATTGCTGTATAGTATGGAATATACCTATCACGAAAAACATTTTTTAAGTTAAAAATCTCATAGAAATGGGAAAGCTGGGTATAATCCTAGAATTTACACCATATATTCTGGTAGCATAGTCTGTAGAGCAATACACTATACCAAGTACGTCTCAAAAGTGGCTCACCCCTATACCTTTTGTATTATTTCAGATAAAAAAAAGACATTTGGTATGTTAGTATATGACATAAATTAGGATTGATTGACATATTTATTTGTTTTCGGTCACTTCCGGTTTCACCGGAAAAGACTATGACTTTTGGTTTTTAAATGGCACCCTCGGTATTTTTTTACTTTATTTGAATGATAAATGATACTCTGAATATAATGACATATCATATGTCAACTTTTGACATTTTCGCATATGGTTTATTTGAAATTATAACATGCGGTTCATAACGACAATGTGACTCGAAATACAAAGTGTGTGGTATCAAATTATCCGTAAAAAAATGATTTTTCCAAATACCTATGCTAATAAGTCACCCTCGTTCCATTTGAAAAAATTGAGATATTATTAAAAATTCGATTTGGGCATCTTTTAACTGGCCAGGACAAGACACTAAAACATTAAAAAAAAATTAGTGTTTTTAACACAGCCATGACACTCTAGATTAAAATATAAAATACAATTTGTTTTTGAGAGAATATGTCAAAAGTTGACATATATTATCATTCAGTTTAGAGTGTCATTTTCTATCGAATAAATTACAGTTGGGGGTTGGAATCTTTGGTGTTACACAGCAAAATAACACACTAAATCACCACAATACTCCAAAACACTTTTACTTTTACACTAGACGTGCGTTTCGCTAACCATGTTAGCATCATCATCTGTGTGTTGTGATGATTTAGTGTTTTATTTTGCTATCGAATAAAATAAAAAATACAGAGGTAAAACAGAAAGTGACAAAAACAATTCAATACGTCAATTAATCCTAATTTATGCCATATATACTAACATACCAAATATCGTTTTTTTCAACTGCAAAAATAAAAAAGTTAAAGGGGTGAGCCACTTTTAAGACGCACCCGGTATAGTCCACGGGGTACAGACACATATACAGATATAATATCTGCATCGAATGGCGATGCCATGTACTGGGTATCTTATTTAAAGTACAATAGTAACTTGCCCTTAAAAGAGAAAATGGGGGCAATGTTCGTTCAATATGAATTTTGTCCCACTCCAAGTTAAGATGTTTAGGACATACATTCATATGATTTTGTTTCTTCTTAGAATAGATCCAAGAATCACTCCTTCCAATACGAGCATGTCTTTGGAACACCCTGTATAATATAAAGGTATAAAATATATTCAATAGAATACGATATTTTTATGACAGTTTACCTTAAGTAACTCTCGAAAATATGGACTGCATGCGGACAAAACAACTCGGTGAGCCTTCAGACTTTTGCCGTCGCAGGCCAACGTGACGTCGACGAAGTCTTCATCGTCTCGCAGGTTCTCAAAGGCAGAAGTGATGCTGCTCTGATAGTTATTCCAACGAAGACAGAAGTGTTGAGTGTCGACCATCGTAATGAATGTTCACCTGGAAAGAAAACAAAAAATTGTTATTAAATTAATATTTTGTTTTTGTAATTTGCATGAATGACATATATGTATATTAATAGCGGACCCTGAAATCTATATAAACATAGTCCCAAATTCCCAAAAAGTCACCTTTTCCTATATAAAATTCACCTACAAATTACGTTACTGCAGCAAAATCTGTCTTTTACACAATTATACTATATTACTACTGACGTCTTATCCATTTCAAATCCTTACCTAATTTTAATAAAATAGCATATCTAATAAATCAAGTTAGGATGCAAGTATCTTGCTGTAGCAAAATCCGCAATATGCATCATACTGCAACGAAACCCGCCCTATCCGAATCATATACAGGGTGAGTTTCCTACGAAGTTCTCTGTGGGTATCCCGGAAACTACTGGAGATAGAGAGTCGGTTAAATGGGGAAAGAATTGCAGTTTTGTGAGGTCATAAATATGCGCCTTTTAGATTTTTGAAAAAGTTCATGGCTTACTAGATATTTCGAAAAAAATCAAATTTTGGCTATTTCAAAAATTGTCCCTAATTCCATTATAATCTATTTTAGACAAAAAGTGTTCAGATAAAAGTTGTAGATAATCACATTTCTAATGAGATTGTGTTCTCCGATTTTTTCTGAAGCCTGTCATTTTAGACATATGACACAAACATATGTTTTTTTAAATGGAAACCATAGTTGGCCATGACTTCATAAAAAGCGCCATTTTTTAAGCTTTTCAGCGATATAAGTTATAATATGTTTCTTTTACAAAATTACTGAGTTATAGCCAATTCTTATCTTTCTTGACTAATTTCACTTAGTTAGCCATGGAAACAAGTTCAATCGTCGTTGCTCTCAGAAATGTGAAATTGTCACATCCAATCTTTGTAAATTAAAATAAACAAAAATTATAAATATTTTGTTTTAAATGAAGAAAAGCGTGTAGGATTATTTGTTCAACTTTTCTTGACCATACAAGATACGTTGACCAGTGAAAGTTACTTACGTTTTTTAGAGAACGGTTTCCAATGGTGTTCTAATTTTGTTATGATTTATAACTTATAAAAAGACAAAATATATTATTAAAGGGCTCTTTACAATTTACATTACACAAACTAAAACTTAAAAAAATAATCAATACATACACAAGTTATTTTAGAAAATGCTCAAAAAAATCCGCAATTGCTTTGAGTACCTAAATGCATCTATTTAAAACTGAATTTCTAGCTATTGTCACAGAACGACCGGTCGACTTAATTAAACTTCTCCTGTTCCGCCTCTTCGAGTGCCTCTCATAAGTTCATAAGTTCTTTTACCATACCGCATAAAAAAAATCTAAAATGGATAGGTCAGGTGACTGAGGAGACCCATGCAATTGGTCCACCTCTTTCTATCCCTGAGTCTACATAATTATGATAATGAAATAATTTTTAACATTTCTTATATTATGGGGGGCGGGGAGTTTGGTGTGTCATAATGAAAGTCATGTTGGAACCACTCTATTAATGAGCGAGTATTTTAATTTAACTTTTCTAACATGTCTTGAAAATCGTTCTCTAAAAAACATAAGTAACGTTCACCGGTCAACGTATTCTAGAAACTGTATGGCCAAGAAAAGTTGAACCAATAATCCTACACGCTTTTATTGATTTGAAAAACTTTTACAATTTTGTTTATTTTAATTTACAAAGATTGGATGTGGCAATTTTACATTTCTGAGAGCAACGACAATTGAACTTGTTTCCATGGCTAACTAAGTGAAATTAGTCAAGAAATATAAGAATTGGCTATAACTCAGTAATTTTGTGAAAGAAACATATTATAGCTTATATCGCTGAAAAGCTTAAAAAATGGCGCTATTTATGAAGTCATGGCCAACTATGGTTTCCATTTAAAAAAACATATGTTTGTGTCATATGTCAAAAATGAAAGGCTTTAGAAAAAATCGGAGAGCACAGTCTCATTAGGGATGTGATTATCTACAACTTTTATCTGAAAACTTTTTGTCTAAAACAGATTATAATGAAATTAGGGACAATTTTTAAAATAGCCAAAATTTGTTTTTTTCAAAATATCTAGTAAGCCATGAACTTTTTCGAAAATCTGAAAAGCGCATATTTATGACCCCACAAAACTGCAATTCTTTCCCCATTTAACTGACTCTCTATCTCCAGTAGTTTCCGAGATACCCATAGAGATCCTAGGAAACTCACCCTGTATATTATAGTGTTTTTTCTCTTTAAAAATTAAATATTAGTTTCTATTTTAAGAAAAACGAGATACAAAACAATGATTCCACTCAATGGACATGTCGTTTTTTTGTAAAATAATGCTTCAAACATTTGCTAAAGCAGTCTGCATATAATCTCGAAACAACGTTTTTGGGATAAGACTGGTTTTGCAATTTGGAGTAGATTTTTTACTAAACCCCATAAAAATATAATCCATAAATGATACTGGATGATATTTGTAATTGTTTGAACCGTAGAATCTATTTTCCTTCCTCTTTCTTTCCTCTTTCAGTCACAGAAAAGCTCATGAAAGAAAACGCCTTGAGTGACCATCTTCTGATGCGTGTTAAGTACTCGTCAGCGAGTAATGGCAGTATGTAGGTATGTATTTTCCTTCTCAGACCATCGATTTTATTTAAATGTTTGGCTTATTCTTTAGGAAGAAAATTCACTTAGGAAACGCCAATGCTTAAGCAAATAGGCATGCATGTACACCTGCCCTATTCATTTACTTTCTTAAATTGATTAGTATCGGTTGAATTTATAGCCATAAAGTTTTGACAATGCACATTTATATTGCAGCTGGACATATTTGCATATTTTTAAACATACAATATAAAAGTTAATTCAAATCATAGTTTAAAAGTAATTGAACTTTGGATCAATTTCAAAATTTAAAAAGCTCGATTTTTTTAGCTTAAATTTAGTAACATATTTAACTAGATAGATAAACCGTAAACCATTTTAAGGACCAGTTAGACCTACTATAATATTGTAAAATCTTAAAATTAGAAAATTGGCGCTTATCAAGTTTTCCCGTAGACCCTTCATATGTATGATCGAAAATAACGGCATCTAGTGTTCAGTAATGTTCATTTCCCCAAGGCGTCTTTGATATGAATATAATAAAACCATATGCTACTCTTTCATACAACCACTTCTAAATTTTCTTTAAACATTAAATACTTATAGCTATTATCAAAAGGCACAATAAAATATCTTATTATAGTAAAGTAAGTACTAAGTAGACAGCTGCTAGTGCAGATGGGATAAGTTTCAACATGTTATTACTTATAGAATCCTCTGTATAACAAATATAATAAGTGTCTTCTTGTACGATTGTCCATTTCCTGATCAATGGAAAAGTGGTAAAAATGATACCTTTCCATAAGATGGTAGAGCGCAAAATTCCCTTAATAATTTTTTTACATTGGTATTATTAAGAATATAACAATAAACCTCCGTCGTTCTGACTTATCTAGAACACTAACAATAACGGATGAAATAGAAACGATGGATGAAAACTAGAACTATAGCCCTTGAAAGAAAACGTCAAACATGTAAGAGACTAAGTCTTCTATAACGAAGGGATCTAGTACAGCATATTGAGTTACCAGCCAGCCTTGTGGGCCAGGAGACTAGTTTTCTAACTATTATCTATCTTCTCTATTCCCTCGAATAACACATAAGGTCACACGCGGACTCTCTAAAATAGGCTAAATTGGATAGCTGGGTAAAAATAATATGTGCCTCTGCCTTATTAGCCTATAGCACACAACTGACAAGGTTATTGTATACAGGGTTGTTCACCACATACGACACGGAGTATTGTAGCTAAACGATTAGATTTTTACAAATTTTAAGTTTTGGGTTCGTTGAAGGACTATTAGAGCTACAATTTAGAAATAATTTTACAAGATACAGAGTGTCCCAAATAAGTAAAAAATTATAAAGTTGTATTTTTTAAATGGAACACCCTGTATATTATTCTATTTTTAGATTCTACGATTGAAATAAAGGTAAATTTTATTAAGGTTTATCACACTTAAACCTTACCGTTTTTGAAATATTTTCAATTTTGTGAAATTGCAGTAACAATTTTAAGGCTTTATTTCTCCAAGGGTATCAAAGTTTTTAATACTAAATATTTACTGAAGTTTATTTATTGATCAGTTATTGTGTTGCAATAATAAAAATTATACTACCTTGTATAGAGTGTCTAAAATTTTATTTTAAATAATTACTAGCTTTAAACAGCAATAACCTGTTTAATTTAAATGGAACGCCTTGTATATTTTAGGAGAATCAGATGCATAATTTAATTGTCTATCAAATTGTATTATACCACTTTTTACCTATCAAATTGTATTATACCACTTTTTACCTATCCCTTCAAGTTTTCGTAGAAAATACATTTTCTTATAATTTAGACCTCATTTATCAATATACCCATGGAATATTGACATTTTAGATTGTTTTTAAAGCAACAAATGTATAAAATGTACAGGCTAGTAATATTATTGTTTTCTAACAAAATGATAATATTACTAGCCCATTTGTATGCAAAAAGAAATCTATTTAAATCTTCATAAAAGAGTACACCATTAATTAAACATACCAGCATTATTTCCGCCCAAAGACTAATTAATTACATACTTAATTATGTTCGTGAATAAATTATTCTAAATAAATGTGGATTTGAATCCGAAATCAATATAATAATAAGTTATAAAAATGAATGTCTCTGTTGTTACAAATAACCATTTGTTAAAAAATAAAATATCATTTTTAAGGTGTTACTTTTTACCACACTGTTTAATACACAAAGAAAATTAAGTTTTTTAGTTTTTGGAGCAATTATTATTAACCAACGCAAACAGTCAATTAATGTAGTTTGAATACTGGAATCATCTTAATTGGTCCTCTTTAACAAATATTTAAACAGTTTTTTTTATTTTTTAATAAAATAAACAAACTATATCGACA